TCTACCTTGAGTAGGTCCTAAATTATTTTGCAATTATAAAGATACTCATTTAAAAATTAGAAGTTGTTTGACACATAATTTACCTTAGTAGTCTACAGGGTGTAGCTGTAAATAAATCCCCAAAATCAATAGCTCATTAAGTATTCAACCTTGTACGCTGACCACGTTGTTTAAGTGGACTTGTCTTACTGAAGGCTTACGGTCATGCATCCGTACCAAATCACGTTTCGTAACAGCGTGGGACACAGCTCCTACGTTCACTAGTCAGCTTAGAATAAACGCTTCGCGATATATTGATGACGTACCAAATCTATCTTTCCTACCTCTTCGCATCTGACTTCTGATTTCATTGGGTTGGGGAAAGCTTCGTATATAGAAGGTGCAACTGGTAGCAGGTTGTAAAATCAGAATACTAGTCGTATCTTCGAGGGTTATCTATTGCTGACTTGCTGTATAGTGAATAATGATTTCAGAATTAATATAACACTTTTGTCCGTCCTAAATATACAATTTAGAGGACCACCCTCATAAAGATCGAAAACCAAGGTAAAATAACTTACATCTAGCGTTTCGTTTCATGCATCGTGTAGTAAATTACTGGCACTCTTGTGGTGGTCGATATTCGATATTATCCCTAACCGTTACTCGATAACGTCCTAAAGGTGTATGAATCAGAAGGCGAATACGAAAGGCTGATCGCGTTTTTTATTGAACCACACACAGGTATCCAATATTACGGGCACGTTAAGCAAGCATGAAAGAGCAGTGCCGTAAAACAGGCGAGTGAGCGTAAGGCTCGAATGAGTGAGTAAGCGTGTACAATACGGTGTGGCGTACAGCAGAGCAGATGGCAAGCAGTAAACAGGATTAAGTTGTACATATATATAAGTGGAAAAGCCTGAATCATCGGATCAATTAAGCGATTAATAATAAGGCTAGCTGAATGAATACATGCGTAGGCAGTAAGCAATGTTCAAGCGTATATAATAAAAGTACAATGGTATAGATAGGTTGTTATTGTATGAATGACTGTCCATTAAATAAGTTAACAAAAGGGCTTAACCAGATTAGGTGTAAACAAACTCAATTGTATCTGAGTTGCTATACTCTATTAGAGTCTGTAGTGTCAGAAACTACTGTCGGTAGGTTCACAGCCTAGTATGTTCTTCTTAGTATCACATTTCAATAACTTGAGCAATTCAATCAACCTCTTATTTTTTACCTCTATGAACCGAATACTTAATAAACCGCCTTAATGTTTTGAACTACTAAAATATAAAGAACCGCTTCAAGTCAGACGTTCTACTTAACAGTTACACAGAGGCGCATCGGTCATATTTTTAAGTCACCATATCCATACGAACATCTTTAAATATTTATTAATTTAATTGTTGGATGAAAATTCAATCTCCCATAAGTGTCTACCTAAACCACCCGAGGCTGCTTCGTGTTACACTTAAGAATGCCTCCGACGTAGAGGATGTCCTGCTAGCCAGTCACTTACTGAGGTCCGATGGGAACGTAAGAATACTGCCCGACATACCGTATTCTGAACGAAATCTCATCCGGAACATCCCTAAGGAATCTCGCGAGGCGTTTTTCCGTGGACGAAATATCATTGTGCAAGGTGTACCGGAAAATATGGACCCAGCTCAAGCAAACTCTGATATTCGGGAATGGAAATTCATCAAGCATTCCTTAAAACCCAAGAACATATTGACCCAACAGGTAATGAGACTGGCCAAGAGAGACGGAGACTCTAGGCCCCGGCTGCTGAAGATAACCTTCCCCTCCCCCCACATGGCGGCTGCAACTCTGGAAGCATTTCGTGCCAATAGACGTCGGTTGCCAACTGGCATCCATATGCATCCGGATAGGCCCCACGACAGCAGGATCAAGCACAAACGAAAGCTGGAGCCGACAATTCCACTCGTGGACTGTCTTGATCATAAAAAAAACGTGTAAAGGACAGGGACTACCAACTCGGTAAACATCGTATAGGTAGGCTACCTGTCCACTCACACACGGCTCATATAGACAAACAAGAAGAGGCTCACGCGTTCCAAATTGAAAGCATAAACTGCCTAAACACGAACGCCGCGAGCTTGCCAAACAAAATGGACGAGCTACGTGAACTTAGCAACGCTAATGATGCCCATCTGATAGGAATATCCGAAACTTGGATAACGTCTCAGTTTACGGACCAAGAGTTAGCAATAACTGGGATATCTTTATTTCGCAACGACAGAAAAACAGGAATGGGGGGTGGGGTAGCACTGTACATACGGTCATGCCTGGATGCGCAACAACTTCACAACCAAGAGTTTCACAATCTTGACGAGTCAGTATGGTGCTCAGTAAGATTATCTACCACCTCGAGGTGCCTAGTTGGGGTCGTTTACAGGAAGCCCACTGCCGACATCGAATATGACAAACGTCTGCTGGAAGGATTAACTCGCTCTACGCGTCTCGGATTCTCTCATATCCTGATTCTAGGGGATTTCAATCTCCCTAGAATCAACTTCGTGGAACATACATACATTGGTGGTACCAACTCTACTGAAGCTCTGTTCTTCAACCTTATCGGCGACCTGGGATTATTTGAAAATGTGAAGTCGGCAACCCGTTGGAGAAACAGTCAGACGCCGTCAGGCTTAGACTGGGTATTCACAAACGAAGAATTCCTAGTTGACGACCTCTCAATCCTGGCTCCCCTGGGGAAAAGTGATCACGCCGTCTTATCATTCAGCTTTGTCAGCAAAACAGAGCTACGATATCCTACTAGCAACAAGCGCTGGAATTTCAAACGGTTGTATGTGTTAGCTTTACAGGACTATCTACAACAGTTGGATTGGGATGTTCGCCCTCAAATTGAAGTGGATGCTCATTGGGATTTTTTACTGCACACGATCTTATGTGCTACTGAGCATTCAGTTCCTAAAATGGTCCCAAAAAGCTACAAGCAACCTGCAATCATCAAGAACCGCACTCGTCGTTTGCTAAGCCGCAAAAGGCACTGTTGGTCTGAATATAAACGAACTGATAACAACGGCGCGTACAGGCAATACAAACATATAAGGAACATATGCACAAAGACAATAAGAGAAGACAGGCTTCAGTTCCAGACCAAGCTTATCGATAGATTCGTCTCCAATCCGAAAAGCTTGTTCACTTATGCAGCTTCTCTTCGACAAGGCAAAACTGGAGTTTCCCAACTGCTTGGTCCTAATGGCCCGACCAACAACGACAGTGATGCCGCCAACCTTTTGGCTGAACATTACTCCCGGACATTCCAGCTGACCCACATCAACCATACTGACGAAAGCTTCACCTTCACCTGTACAGGACTTTCCGAAGTGGACCTGAGTGCTGACTTGGTGCTCCGTAAACTGCAGAACCTAAAAAAAGACACTTCTCCTGGTCCGGACATGGTTCATTCCGCTGTATTGAGGGAAGCAGCTTCAATCCTGGCGACACCACTTAACGTGATGTTTGCACACTCGCTAAGCAGAGGCAAACTACCGGAAATATGGAAGCTGGCCCACATCACACCAATTTTCAAAGGAGGTCGACGCAGTGAACCCTCAAGCTACCGACCAGTGGCCCTTCTCTCCATACCTTCAAAAATTATGGAATCCCTAGTATTCGACGGCATACTAGAACACTTATCATCCTCAAAGTTCTTCTCGCCTCAACAGCATGGTTTCAGAAAAGGTCATTCTTGTATGACCAACCTGCTGACTGCAGTGGATAGATGGACAACCATCCTTGATCGCAAGGGGAAGGTTGACGTCATCTACCTGGACTTCTCAAAAGCTTTTGATAGGGTCAACCATGCATGTCTTATCAAGAAGCTTGGACGATTAGGTATAAAACCCCCTTAAATTGACTGGATCACTTCATACCTAGAAAACCGACATTTTATGGTCAGGGTTAACTTCACCCTCTCTCAGGCTATGGAATGTCCTAGTGGGGTCCCCCAGGGTTCAATACTAGGACCTCTTCTCTTCTTGATTTATATTAACGATCTTCCTCAACAAGTTTCATCTGATTTATTGCTTTTTGCCGATGATGTGAAACTTTGGGGAGAGATACGTAATCACAATGATATACTAGTTCTGCAGGAGGATCTGACTCGACTTCAAAGTTGGGCAGACGACAACGGACTTACCTTCAACACTTCAAAGTGCAAGGTAGTCCATCTGAGACATGCTGTAGACTATAGTTATAACTTAGGTAACTCACCTCTAGAAGTTTCCCAAGTTGAAAAAGATTTAGGAGTGTTGATACCCTACGACCTGAAATCGTATGCGAACTGTGACAAAAACACATTTCAAGCAAATCTAGCACTGGTAACATTGAAGTGCATTTTTGGTCAGTTTGACGGTAGAACCTTCCAAATAATCTTCAACAGTTTTATTCGTCCCCACTTAGAGTACGGAAACATAGTATTTCCTCCCTCCCTCCAAAAGGATAAGGTCACTCTGGAACGTATACAACGTCGAGCCACGAAATCAGTTCGGGGTCTCAAATTCAAACCTTATGAAGAGCGCCTCAAATCACTTAACCTTTACCCGTTAGAGTATAGGCGTCTTAGAGGTGATCTTCTTATGACTTATAGTATCCTTAATACTTCTGGTCATCCCCTTAAACAACTTCTTAAGCTTAGTCATAACACTAACCTGAGAGGTAACACCCAGAAATTGGAGACCCTACATAGCAGAACAGACTGCAGACACAACTTCTACTCCGTTAGAGTTGTCAAGTGCTGGAATTCGCTGCCGACTGAGCTAGTCCAAGCGACCTCCCAGGAGTCCTTTAAGAGAAAACTTGACTTATTCTTAAGGACTAAGGATAACATATTATTATGATTTACCAAATTCTTTTTTTCCCCTCTATTATCGTTCATATACCTAGGTTCTTGCCTGGAGGTATTGGTGATCCACTGCTACCAGACACGGAAGCCCGTTAAGCGAAAGCTTCTTCTATTCCGCCCTCAACCATTTGAACCATTTGAACCATTTGAATGCGGTGTGTTTGAAGGTTTGCGCTAACCCGTTTTATGGGAAATCTCATGCCTCTACGCTCACGATCAACTGCTAGCTTCACTCATAACATTACCTGAATCCCACTCTTGATTTACTTCGAATTGTCATTATTTGTTATCATCACTAAATGTAAGTGCGTCCTGTGTACTTCTTCTCTAATCTTTTTCCAACTACAGTGCATATTTGAGTACCCAACGGTCATGTACGATCGGTTTCCAGCTGATTTCATGGAGACGTTATAGTCGAGCGATTACAGTTATTTAAGTTACTGCGAAGCTCGTTTATTTGTAACCATGGTATTTAAATGACTGCTAGATATTGTGTAGACTCGTGACAGTTCCGTTTTGATGTAATATCTGTTGGAAGTTGAAGTCTGCTAGTACGGTGACCTTTATTCACTTCGACCCGATTTAAAATAAAACGAGTTATGATAATTGAAAACTGGATACTAAAACCATATCATGGCTCCAGAGGTCGACTGTTATGGTGTCACATGAATGAGTTCCTTTAACACATTGTAGATTCAGAACTGCAAACCCTTCCCTAACCCTGAAAAGTTTTGAGGCCATGTTGAAAATTGTATCCATCCTGGTTTTGGTTCCGTATGATTAATGACTGACAGAAATGTTTCAAGGTCACCAAAGATTCGCTCTAAGGTCATCCATAAGTTGTAGTATCGCCGTTTTTTACTGAGATCCTCACATACTGCTCCTCATGCCTCCTCAGTACACAAGGTACCTTTACTATAGACGCAAATATACAAAAAGTTAAGCGTCAATACTCTATAAACTACTAATTCCGGGTATCACTGTCCTAATCATACGCTTGTGTTGCTGAGGCTTATTGTCTCCAGGTTACTTATTCAATGTAAGTCTATTTTGTGCGCCCACTAATAGGATGATTATTTTCTACTACCCGCATCGATTTGTTGGACTTATTCATTTGTTATAATGTACTCATATACCACATTTAAGATGTAATTATAAATGAGCAGAGACATGTTTACTCTGTAAACTACTAAAAATTAGACTCATTTCGCCTATTTCTTAGTTTTGCTTAGTAGTTTTACCCTTGTATTTAACGCCGTTTTGCTTTGTTATCTTAAGGTACGTTAACCTACAATTTTAATTATTTTGCTAGTTATTTTGTGTATTCAAATTTAATACGATGGCTGGTTTGTTTTAGATTCATCTGTCCTGTAACTTATGTGGTATCACGTCATTAAGCTGTACTAAATGAAAGGTGTAGCTACTTCAGAGAGAAATGACAATATCCAATATTGTTTCGGAAGTTGGAGTTTTTCTTCTAAGGATCTATGTTCTTGTCGTTTGGAATATAATAATATTATATCAAATCCTGCGTAAAAGAAGAGACCGTTGGATTCACATAAATGACCTGCGTGTAGTTCATGAGAATCAAGGCTTCTTAGTCATAAATAAGCATCCCGAGTTACTTATAAACTGCACAGCCCCATGGATTAACTGTTTAACCCTACAAATGCAGGTCAGTCAATTCTCTTGATTTTTAAATTTATTTAATTATTTATTTATTTAAACACATAAATATTGGTACAATGAAGCACCAGATAAATATGCGCCTCACAAATCTCATTCGATTTGTGTGAGGGCTGTGATACTGCCCAGGTGCCCAGACTGAAGCAGGTGGTTTTCTTAGGGGGCCACACCCGGAGCCTTTGACCTGAATGTCTGATCCACAAGGCAGTGGAGCATCGTGAGGAGATGCAGTCCCATGGTAGCCGTTGACCAGCAGAAGGTTCATTCGCCATTCGTTCCATCAGGATACTGGAGCCCATGTGCACCATTGGTTTGGAATCAGGGTTTTCCAACTCCCCTAGGTGGACTCTCCGTGTCCACCAACCCGGTTAAAGCGCCGGACATTCGCTTTTCGTCCTCTCACTTTCGTAAACAACACCCCCGCCACGAGAAGGCAGTGAGTAGGACTTCCCTGTCAGAGGCTATATATTCGCGTGGCCATGTGAGAGCATTTCGAGAGGGAGAGTAGACTTTCCCCACTCTCGGCCTTACCAGGGCATTTGGAGGCGGATTTTTAAAACATGTGTTCGGCTATCAAAATTGTAAAGGCGATCTCGAGATTCAAGTAATACTTATGTACTTTGATTATTTTAGTGACGCAAATTAGAAAACAACATCAATAAAGACAATGGTCCATTCTGACTACTTCGTCTCATTGATATCGTAACTAATTCTATATCATAGCAAATTACAAACTGTTCCGTTTCGTCTTCTCTGTATCGTTCCAATTTTAGTATATGTACCGTCGAAGCGAGGTGTGGCAACTTGGAACGATGCATATATGTTCTTGGTCCTACGTTGTAGCTGATCCGCTTCGTCTGGTTACTTGATATCCACTCACCAGCCAGAAAAATAATGGTATTATGGGTTACCTAACATAACAAGTGTTTCTAAGAACTATTTGAGGTTAAAACCATAATTGAAGAAAGTTGTTTATTGCGTAACTCCTTTAGTGTGTTAGCTGTCGTTAGCAGATTAATCCTCTGTATCGATGTACATAAACCAGCAGAACGGTGGCTTGCTGCTTAAGTCAATTGACTTAGTTACACGGTTCCATTTTGTTCCATCTTCAGTTTCAGCAGCTGAGTAGAAAAATGAGTTACTTTTCTATTGATATAGATAAAACGAGTTTTCAATTAGCCATCTAGTGGCCAAGTTTACCTAAATTGGCGAGGCTAAACTATACTGACGACCTTTGAACGAATCTTAAATGACCCTGAGAAATATTAGCCAATCAGAAGGCAGTTATTATACAGTAAAAATATATTATACAGAACTCAAAAATTAAAGGGGATACTGTTCTTTTACATTACTCAAAAGCTTCTCAAGGTCAGATATAGGTTCAGAAGTTCTAGAATCGTAGTGCATACGGTACAGGAACACATCCATATGGCTCCATAGTAGTCGACCTCTGAAACCATGATAAGGTCTCAAAAATTCTTTTAGCCTCGACCACATAGCTTCTATGTTATTGGTATATTGGTATGGTTTACGGTTTAGGGTTAAAGGTGAGACTATAAGTTATGGGCGACCTTTGAGCGACGCTAGAGTGATCCTGAGTGTCAACATAATAACTAAGACCAAATGAGGGTTATAAACCTGTGTGAAGAATTCAAATTATGATTTACAGTTCATGGTTAAGGCTAGGAATTATACTTAGGGTTTTCATCGCGAACTGACATCATTTTTAATGCCAAAACTCTATTTATCCAAATGGATAATTGAATTTCGCGCCAAAATCTTGTGATCACTTCTCTTGTAGACGCTGAATTATCACATCTTCCCTAAAATTCGCTGTAAACCGATCGTACTTAACCATCAGGTACCGATCTCAGCGCCGTGACCTTGAAAACCCGCGAAAGCTTCTGACTGGCTCGGCAGTATAGTTTAGTCTCGCCCCTAAATTACTAGTCAGCCAAGTTCATCCCATAAATTTGATTTGCAAGTATAAGAAACGGCAATTTCAAACAAATGTTTATTGATTAAAATTATTAGCTTTTAAAAAGGCACAGGAATGAGAAATCGGCGAGAGTGATCAAAACGGGACTAGTAGACTAAAAAATACACCATTCTACCAGAGAATCAGAGAAACAAATTTGTGCTGGTTTCTCTTACGTTACATAGTAACTCAATCTATTGTAGTTTCCATTTGAATAGTTCATAAACAAAGTGTATTTTGTTACAGCTAGCTGCTGTCTGAAATAAAAACTATTCTTTGAAAGTAATTAGCAATATGACCCTATTATATTTACTAGGACGTCATCTATTTTCTGTGCACTGTTATTTTACTATCTTGACGATCAGTTCTTCGCGTAAAAATGGTTGTATGTGCTCCTGATGTTTGGTCATTCGAGGGTTTTTTATTAAGGTGCAAGAACTCGTCCAGCCGAACTCGATAGTAACATATATTTTGTTTACATTCAAGTGATCATCTCCACTATGATTTCATATCAGATAGAAATTAAAAATTCAACACTATTAGTGGTATGTTATATATACTAACTTGTATCTCACTGAGAAGTTCAGTATTCACAAACATCTTTAAAACTTAATTGATGCTAATGTTATTGTTTTACAACTTCATGCTTATCATTTTAACGGTTTCTGTGTTATCTTCAGTTGTTCTACAACCGTCCATGCTATGTTAACTGGAAATTGAAAAATATGTTTCATTTTGTACATCGACTCGATTGTCCAACAAGCGGTTTAATATGCATTGCTTATGATACAAAAGCTGCAAGTATGGTACGATTGTGTTGATTAATTATTATCATCGTAACTATTTTGTGCTTAACTTTACACCATTAATAATTTAGATTTTCTTAGTTGAACTCAACCCACTGACCATGTAAGTGTTCATGTGTTAAATTTGATTTCTTCCATGTGTGTGTATGGGACACTACTCAGTTCCCTACGTCTGATTTATGTCCAAACTTATAATCCATTGACTGGTAGCGGAGTTCTTAAACCAACAGATTACAATCCCACATTTTTACGTTCAAGGAATTGTTGTTTAGACAATTAAATAAGTTGTCTCAAAAATATTTGCATTCTAAGAACCGAGTAAACTTTAAATGTATAATCCAAATGACTAAAACAAGTTAGTGTATTTTCCCTAGTATTTGATATGCTTTGGACTCGGCAAATATAAACCAAATACTGTATGACTCGCCATAATGTGAACATTAGTACCACTGAATAACAAACATAGATCAAAAAGAGTAATAAGCTATTTGAGTGGTATTAGGAGTTAAACATAATTTTAAAATATCTTACCATCGTACCCATTTCGAAACTCAACATTCCCAGTTTTCCATTGTACGAGATTCCTAACAATCTATCCCTTTCGGCTGGTGATGTTCGTCCAAATTAAATTAAACGAAATGACCATCCCATGTTTTGGGAACTTTGATGTGGTCAACAAAGCTATGTTTACTGATTCACGTAACGAAAGTGACCCATTGTGTCCTTGAGAAAGAAGGCAATTCAGCGAAAAATATTTCCTTTCCGACGATTTTATTTACTTAAGGTATGCAATTTTATTTATAGTTAATTTTATTTGCTGAAATAGTGTTCTATAGTAAAACAGAAAAGTGCTAGTTACTTAAAAAGAACTTGAAGTGGTATGTGTTATATCCTAGTGAAGACATAAGTACAGGTAACTTCCGGGACCTGTTAATGGACTATTATTTTATATATATTCTTATTGTATAACTATTCAGTGATTAGATTTAATCTATATATATTCATCTTATTATAAGCTTCATTTCGACCTATGAATCATTGTTATACGATTTACTGTCCCCAAATTATAGTTAGTTTATTAATTACTTATTAATTACACATTCACAGCCACATTTGGCTTGATCTTGTACAGATATAATTTTATGGTGTGATGTGGTCTGTCTGTCTGGTATATAAACAGAGTATGCTTGTAATAAATTCGCATAGTAGAAGCTGTAATTGGTGTTTTGGACTCAATTGGAAGGGCTAGGCGTACTCAGGACCAATAAGGATGCTAGACTACTCATACTGGTCGAACGTCATTGATTTGGCACAGTGTTAAGATTGGAAAAGTCGTATTTCGATTAATGGATAATTCGCGGGATAAAAGCCGTACATAAGACCGCAACAAATTAGCATACGGCCTTCTTTATTTCTTAAATTCATAATAGTATGTTGACAAGAGGAAGGAAGTTATGTAATAATCGGTCATTGAAAAGTGGTAAGGTGTAAATAATTGTCCACTTGATAGTTATTAAGAACAGAATAATTGAAAGTTGTGATAATGAATTATCAGTAGTTGTGAAGGTAATTGGAAATGGTTAGGAACAATAATTCAGAATAAACCCACGGGTCGTGTAAAATAGAAAGGAAGGTTAGGATGACGAAAGAATGAGAGACTGAAATATTGCTTTTGTACGCAAAGGTTAGGCTGAAATTGGTGGACAGCAATAGTTTCTACTGTACATAAGTTTTCCATTTGCATCCCCACTAAGTCAACTTTTTTAACTGTATGTATGATCTTGAAGGAGGCATCTTGTGAAGCGGAGTGACCGAAATTGACCACATGCTTCAAGATCAGGCCTTTGACTGACTTATGTAATCCTGTGGACAGCCAGACAGGGGAATGTTTGTGAATGCGTTTCGAGAGGACTCGCTTTGTGCGGCCACTATAATCTGCTCTACATGAGCAAGTAAACTTATAAACGCACATTAATTTGGCTCAAAGCGGGAACTTGTCCTTCACATAACTTCGAATCATAAACCGACTAAAAAAGATAATACGCACTTCAGCCTTACTACTTTTCACTAGCCGATTATTAAATAACTTTCTTCCAATATCTGGTTTTTAACTCTTTTCAGCATACCACTTCAAGTTTTTTAGATAATTAGCACATTTCTATCTTACTATCGAACACTATTTCAGCAAATAAAATTAACTAAAAACAAAATTGTGCAACTTAAGTAAATAAAATCGTTGAAAAGGAAATATTTTTCGCCGAATTGCCTTCTTCCTTCAATTCACATATATCGATACACAAACACAAGAAGAAGTAACCGAACATTAGGAGTGATGAAACATGCCTAAGTAACATCAAGATCATTTAGTCTAAAATGACCTAATAAACGTAGTGGGTGGGAAATCACGCTTTTCGATCGTAAAAAGTAATTAAAAAAGGGTCGCGAAACTAACTTTAAAGCAACTATTAAGGCTTTTTGAAAAAAAATTGTCAGAGGGATATTCTTAGGTTCATAAAAGCCTAGGTTACTGTACAAAATTTGGTACAACCTTAAATAAACCCTGGTAATTTTTAATCCATTTTTAAGGCCTTGGATAGTTCAACGTCTTTCTTCTTTTCGCATTATATTATTTTCTCTTCCCTTTACAATCTCAAATTACCATGGGATATATATTTATTGAATTCTCATCTCATTAACCTTTATCGATCCTCATATACAAATGCCCTCACAAGTATATTTGACCAGACTGTTCGAAATGTAGGGCGCAAGTACGTCATATTTCTCAGACAAACTGTCTTCTCGTTACACTAACGAAATCCAAAATAGGGACTAGGTGTTTCGAAATTAACTTAGTTGTTGTTGTACTTAATACATACTCCATTAATAAACCCCTTCCTACTAATTGCAACTTGTTTGTTGAAAAAATGATACTACAACTTGTGTGTCATATGGCAATCTGATCCATATACTAGTTGAGGAGAATATGTTAAGTCCGGACTGTAGCTCTTACTCCGACACGGTGGTCAGGCCTACCTTCTGTAGCGGTCCAATAGTGCTCTTTACGGAGAAACATTTCTCCCTTGCCATTATCAAGCAGGCTGGTTTGCTAGCGGTAAGATTTTAAGCAGCAAGTCTATGGTTAAAGTTCCAAATTATTGTTAACTCTTATGAGTTGTGACAGTATTAAGGTGTTTTACATATACATCTGGTGCTCCCTGTACCAATGTTTATGCGTTAAAATAATAATGTGTTTTACATAGGTAACCCAACATCTCCGGCAATGCTGTTGAGCCACGAGTAAAATGGTTTAGAAAAGTCATGCTTTAAAGATATCTCACAGTGATTCACTCCACGGATTTTCGGTACCAACAGATGTCGTAAATAGTACGGAACAAATAATTCTGAAGTTACAAAATGATTATCCATAACTGGCTTCAAATAACTGTTCTTTTGACTCGAAAATCACACTTTCAGATGGACAAGAATAAATATCTTTCTACGGTACAGTCAACAGAAAAATGACAACTGATCGATCTCACATCAACGTGTATAAAGAATATTAGGATAGTCGTATTGATTTGGAAATAAATATAACAATCTCTGTTATGTTCCTCACTATTGATTTATGTTTAGATTAGGCGTGCATTTGAGAACAAAGAAGTCAAGAAGTATTACTTAGCTATTGTTTGGGGTTATGTTGGATCATTTTGTGACTCAGGTCTATCATCATCATTCGTCAAACATGAATCAAAGTTTGTACATCATATCCAAATGCCGATTGGTTCATTTCGATATCTTTGGCCAAACACTGGGCGCAAACAAAAAATAATTGTCCCTATTACACATCCAGAATGTTATGTAAGTAAATTTTCTTTATCAGTAATGAGATTATGAACTGAATAATTATGCTATTAGTCAAGAAGCCATTTTAAAAAGTTCCAACCTAATAAATTAAAGGTTTATAAGTATCGTTCTCCTCATATATATTTTACTTTGGAAGAGTTATGTTTCAAAATGACTTCAAAGGATACAACCACAAAGGTACATTGAATTTAATTATTAAAAGCACGTATCATACCGTAAAAGACTGTTCGTCAATTGAACAATTCTGACGTTGTTAGCTTGTATGTAATGACATTAAAATTAAAACACGGAGTTCAGCGAAGGGATCTCTTTTCAACCACTGACATTGTCAGGCACAAATGCATTTACTCTGGATCTTCAGTTTCAGTATTCCTCTATACGTATCGTTTCACCCTGTTTATCCGAACAGTATCCCCAAAGCTTGGTCTTTCTCATTTTCATTGCTACTACAATAATTCGATTCTCTGGCTATTCATCCTGTCAATTTCAACTCGTCAAACTAATGTAGTCTGACAACTTAGGTCAAATCATATGTGTCAAGCTTTACGTCGGTTATGACTGAAATTGTCGGTACACTAAGAAGTGAAATATATCTTCTCTCAGTGACGAATTTAGACCTCTAGCATCTAGTTGAGAGCTGTTTTTCTAGGGTTAACCGTAAAAAATTGAGGATAAACACTGAGATTGAGGAATCTTGCATAACACTACGATTTAGAGTAAAAGTAAGGCAGATTATTGTTGTCATTTATCTTTCTACCTTCATAAATCCTCATTCTATTTTCTAATTTATGTAATCTTATCTCAGAGACCACGTGAATCTTTAACGACAGTTATTGTTTTGGACTATGGCAAATTAATGGGTGAACCAGCTACACATGTACTTCTTATTCCTAAAACTGGTCGTCGTCATCAATTGCGTGTACATTGTGCAATTGGTCTAGGTCATCCAATCGCTGGTGATACCACCTACGTTCGTCGTCCATTCGATCATCCTAATATCGTTTACCTGAATGATATTTATACAATGCATAACGTTAACTTAGATTATAAATTAAAACATATGATGTTACATGCATATACTATGAAAATAAAATTACAAGCAAACAATAAAGAAAAGAATAGTTATAATGTATGTGCTAACGAGGATTCGTATAAATTGCCTGAAGAGAAAGAATATCAATTTCAAACAAATAATAATCCTTTTTTCAACCATAATGATGCTTATTTATGGCAGAAAGATGAAGAAAGTGAAAAGATGATGATATCAATGGGGCAAACGACGACACCCCATACATTGGAAGAATATATAATGAACAATGCGTATTAGGATAATGATTATAATCATTTCCCATCTATCTTATTTGCAGAAGCTCATGGTTCTTAATGAGTTGTAATGTGTGTAAATGAGCCTGTCATGGTCTATTATTTTGCATTCAAAAGGAATTTTTTACGAGAAAATGATTTTACTTAATCATTCCAAAAACCAGTAGGAATAGATAAAAAGAAACCTATTCAAATACTGTGTATAACCTGTTTAAGAATACTATCCTGACGATCAAGAAGCCGAACGAGGCCAGTTTAGAAAATACGGTTCATTTAAAAATAAAATAATTTTTCAAATCATGTGTCCAAGTCCCGATAAAGCCGCTACAGAGAAACTTTCATCCGAGTAAAAATGAAGTCACAATATCATAGTATGATCACGAAATAGCGCAGGGCTGTATCAGAATGGGATTTTAAGAATTAGGCAAAAACTAACGTGCAGTTAGATTTTCCATCGTCCATGGAAAATGTTCATCATCGCTTACTCAGTATCCGATACATGTATACCTCAAGGCAATTCCATTGGTAGAAGAGCTCGGAGTCTTTTGAACACATTTCTAAAATTTCGTGATTAAAAGCAATGAAGGTACCAAGGAGTGATCCCCCGGGATCTGATTAACACGACGCACTAAACTTCTAAATTATATAGAAAACAAGCTCTGTGATGCCGTAAACTTGAATTCTAAAGCAGACTTGTTAATCTTCCTTTGCTCAGTCGACAGAACCCCTTTTTGAACACGTTGCTGTTTTCTGAATCCATAATTTCTAAATAAGCCTAACTTATTTGTAATTACCACCACCCAGTGTTCACTTCATCTAATAACCACTGTAAATCTAAACTTTATGGACCTTCGTTAATACCCTGTTCTTTTTGGACTAATAAAAATCTTCCGTTAATGAGATGTGACATTTCATTAGTGTTATAATGCGAAATATAGCGTATTGCGATAGGACTACGCGAAATTCTACCGATTGACCAAATTCAGATATCCTAGTTCGACCCCAGTACTGTTTCCCAACTCCAATAAATCAGAACACAGCCGTTAAATGAGAATTGTTTATGGGGTCAGCAGCAGAACAACAATGGTTTACAGATAAGGCATATTTATACAGTTACGATGACTATTAACAGTAACCAATGGAAAAGAAGGACACGTAAAGGTTATAATTAGGACGACTCAAAATTGACCAATAGGGAAACGACACATGAAAGTCATAGTTAGGACACTGTAAATAATGGCCAATAGGAAATAACATGCGAATTATGTGAAGAGTCTGGAAACATACCATTTTACATTCGAGATAATTTTTGGGATATTCTTGTGAATATCCTAACACCTCCCCTTGGAAAAAATTAATAGCGACGCAATCGTGGGTTTACTTGAAAGTTTTTTGGTTTTCTGCGTTTGCGTCCCGACCTCCTTGGAGGTAACGACCGAGAACCGGAAGAATGTTCTGCCTGATTAGATGACTGAGTTGCCTCCGTTGTAGGTATTGGCGGAAGTTGGAAAGTATCCAGTAATAAATCGAGTGGGACGCGTTTCGTAACTTCAATTTTTTTCTTGGCTTCTCTTGGCCTTAGTTGATTATGGTGCCTGGTCCAGATTTCTCTGTTTACTCTGACCTCATACATGACCTTCCCCTGTCTCTTTGCGACTTCACCCTCTATCCATTTATCATACCCATGTCTATAGTCCCGCACATACACTTTTGCGCCAACTTCGTAAAGAATTCGGGTATTCTTCATGTGAGGACTCTGCTGGGCTACTCGCCTGGGTGTCATTGCATTATGAATTGTTCGTAGCTTCCGTCCCATAAGTACCTCCGAAGGGGATTTGAAGTTCGGCAATAAATCATGAGGAGTCGTCCGGTACACAATTAGAAATCGTTCTATAATATCGTGTGTTGTTCCCTCCCCTCTTGCCTTAAGCATGGCACGTTTGAATGTATCGACGAAGCGTTCAGCTTGTCCATTAGATTGCGGATGGTAGGGCGGAGAACGGACATGATTGATCGAGTTTTGCAAGCAAAATTCTCGAAACTGACTGGATGTGAACTGCGAACCATTGTCTGTTACTATTGTTTCTGGCAGACCATGCAGAGCGAAGATCTGGTTAAGGAGTTGGATGGTTCGAGTTGTAGAGGGTGGTGCAATCGGCAATATCTCCGGCCATTTGGAGAAGGAGTCGACCAGTATCAGATATATGGTACCATCTAGGGGTCCGGCAAAATCAATGTGCACTCGCGACCAGGGTTTTTCTGACTTGGGCCAGGGTACTGGTGGCAACTTAGGAGGATGTTTCGCAGCTGTCTGACAATGTGGACATGTTTTGACGAAGTCGACAATTTGCTTGTCCATGTTCGGCCAGTATGCGTAACTACGAGCGATAGATTTCATACGGTTTATCCCTGGATGACCAGCGTGAAATTGGCGTAGGACCTTGGCACGCAGGGTTGTTGGAATTACTACACGGTCACCAAACATCAGACAGTCATTGACAACACAAAGAGCGCTGCGACGATTCGCTAGGTGTAGCATCTCACCACTGAACTGCTTAACTGGCCATCGGCTCTGAACATAAGTGATTGCTTCCCGAATAATCGGGTCGTTTCTGGTAGCTTCTCGAACGTTTTCAGCCGTAACAGGCATAGCTCGCACGGCATTCGCCAATAGTGTTGCACCAGAATCATCTTCCGTTGCTATTGTGGCTATGAGTGTATCCTCATCAGTTGTAGAGTGCTTGCTGATAAGTCTGGACAATGCATCCGCTTGACCAAAATCTTCAGAACGTCGATACTGGATGTCGAAGTCGTAGCTCAGTAACGCCAACGCCCAACGTTGAAGACGATTAGCAGAATGAACAGGAATGCCTTTCTTTGATCCAAAAATTGACAACAGCGGCTTATGGTCTGTGAGCAAAGTGAAACGGCGCCCGTAAATGAATTTGTGGAATCGCCGGACAGCAAAAATCAGAGCTAAGGCTTCTTTCTCGATCTGACCATAACGTTTTTCAGCGGCTGTTAGTGTTCTCGAAGCATGCATCACTGCTTTCTCTGAACCATCGGGAAAAACATGCAGTAGTACGGCACCCAGTCCATGGGTTGAAGCGTCAGCAGCAACTACAATTGGTAGTTTCGGATTGTAGTGGGTTAACAGTAGTTTGGAGCTTAACATGGCTTTAAGTTTTGAAAAAGCTGATTCACATTGCGTGGACCAATTCCAAGTAGCATTCTTTTCTAGCAGATGATTTAATGGATATCGTACCTCATGTAGTGATGGTAGAAATGCTGAATAGTAGCTAACCATTCCCAAAAATGATCGCAGTGAAGAGACATCAGTGGGAGCAGGCATTTGCTGGATTGCGTGAGTATTTTGAGGATCAGGATGTCGTCCAGAAGCATCAAAGATAAACCCCAGGTATTTAACGGAGCGTAGAAAGAATTGGCATTTCTCTGAACGAAGGCGAAAACCATTATCTTGGAGGCGTTGTAGAACTAAATATGTTCTGGAATGCAGTTCATCAGCAGTTGAGCCGACAATGAGGACGTCGTCAAGATACGTAGCAACACCAGGAACATCTGCCAGAATAGTATCCATAATCTGCTGGAATATCGCTGGAGCAGTCTTGATACCAAAGGGTAATCGGGTATACTGGAAAAGACCTCGGTGAGTGTTGATTGTCAGCAATTCTCTCGATTCGCGAGCGACAGGAATTTGAAGGTAAGCATCCGCGAGATCTAGCTTAGCGAAGTAGGTACCACCATTTAAAATAGTAAACAAATCATCTGGGATCGGCAGCGGATAATGATGCTGTTGCAGCGCCGCGTTGAGTCCTGTAGAGAAGTCTGCACAGATGCGTATGGAACCATTAGACTTTTTGACAACCACAATTGGTGCAGCCCATGAAGAATAAGAAACAGGTACAAGGACACCTTCAGTTTCCAAACGTTGCAGTTCAGCGTCGACCAGAGGTAGGGATGCATATGGGACTGGACGTTTTGGACGGAAAACTGGCGTAGCTTCTGGCTGAAGTTTCAAAACAGCTTCAGTTGTGGAACAAAGACCAAGACCAGGCTGAAAGAGTTCAATGAATCGTTTTTGGAGGTCTGCAGCATGCTGTTGTGTAGTAGCAAGAGTTTTTACTTGATTACAGATAGTGCTGATAGGTAGATTGGCAAGACCAAGTTCTTCGAACCAATCTAAACCCAGAAGATTGAGAGGGGATTTGGTGATGTAGCACGTACCATTGAAGGTTGTACCTCTGAACGAAATACAGCAGTTAAGTTCACCATGAAGTCGGAGATGACCACCACATGCACTAACGGCTGTCTGCGAAGACGGTTTGATGGGAGGTTGACCCAAGGTTCGCCAAGTATCTTTCGACAGGATAGTGATATCTGATGCAGTGTCCAACTGCAATCGAACTGGTTGACCATTGATTGAGAGGGTTAGAAATTTGCGCCGCGTGGCGGCATGAGTGTGAAAGACTGCTGCTAAACTCCTTGATGAGGGAAGCTGCTTTTTAGTATAACGACGTTGCGTCTGTGCATTTCGACGCCTATTGGGTCGATGAGATTGACAAAAACCGCTTTTGTGACCAACTTTATGACAGCGATCGCACACCTGCTGTTTGAATGGACAAACTTTCACATAATGCCAGGCTCCACAGTGCCAACATGGAGAAGGGGGCTTCTTGTGAACCGGTACTCTGTGGGCGATTGGTGCGACCATTTCATGGGCTTTTAACATAGCATCGTATTGATGAGAGCTGAAAGCGGCATTGTTAGGACCTGCTAATTCAGGGATAGCGGGGTTTGAATCCACTACCGGGTATGTTTCTGAAACGGATAGTGCTGGACAACCGGGCGTCTCTTGAGAGTCTGCTGTTTCGTTTGAGTTGCGGCTGGTCGAGGATTCATGGAGGCTGTGATCATTTGCCAGCGCTGTGTGCAATTCAGAGATTAATACATCCACTTCCGACGCATATGCGAAGCATTGATGATCCAGAAACTGTGAGCGTAGTTTGACCATGAACTCCAAATGTCGGTCAAATAGCAACTGTAAGCGGTCAGAAGGGAGCGTCATTTTTCACTTTTGTCCCCGTCGCCAATTGTTATAATGCGAAATATAGCGTATTGCGATAGGACTACGCGAAATTCTACCGATTGACCAAATTCAGATATCCTAGTTCGACCCCAGTACTGTTTCCCAACTCCAATAAATCAGAACACAGCCGTTAAATGAGAATTGTTTATGGGGTCAGCAGCAGAACAACAATGGTTTACAGATAAGGCATATTTATACAGTTACGATGACTATTAACAGTAACCAATGGAAAAGAAGGACACGTAAAGGTTATAATTAGGACGACTCAAAATTGACCAATAGGGAAACGACACATGAAAGTCATAGTTAGGACACTGTAAATAATGGCCAATAGGAAATAACATGCGAATTATGTGAAGAGTCTGGAAACATACCATTTTACATTCGAGATAATTTTTGGGATATTCTTGTGAATATCCTAACAATTAGGGTTTCTTTAAACTTTATTTTCAGAATCTTAGTTGCACTGTAACAACTCGTGTTCGCACAAAATTTTTGACTGCGTTTAATTCTCTAAGTATGCTAGACCCCATTTATAATCTCGATCCTGAAATATTACAGATTGTAGGCACCTGATGATAATCTAATTAAATAAACTGGATGTATGTTAGTTTGTTCAAATATCTTGCCAAGACAATGAGACTACTTAAATGAAAAATAATAGTTTTCTTGGATCACTGAGCACCAATTTTTCAATCTCTGTTGCAGAGAGATGAAGTGTAGTCTTACTGCACCTAAAATACACAAAACTATCATTCCTTGTAACCATTACAATGGATAATCATACAGTTGTGTGTGAGTCAACAGTCTGCACACTTTTCATTGCAACCATTAAACTACATTTTGAAAGCCAGCTCCACTCGACAAGGTTTCAAGTAGCAAAGTCACGCACAAAATAACCGATAATTACGTGCAAGTTGATCGTTGGTATATATCCTACCAAGTGATTGCCCCCAAATGGCCTGTTAGGGGCGAGAGTGAAGACGGACAACCCTCTCTCTACACGCATTCACATTGTAGTGAACGACAACACATAAGACAGCAACCAACTGTGTATTTAGCACAAATGACAACGTTGCTTGATAAAATACAAAAACCGCAATTTATTTGCAAAACGTTCCTTAATTGTCTCAGGCTTTATTGTGCCTGGATTTCCACACCAATTGCTTTTTATTTCTCTTCTCTATCTTCTGCTGTCAGATATTCTATTCCTTAATCACGATATATACTACGTATGTCGATATGAGTAGCCCACACCACACTAGTCCCCCCTTTAATCGCTTACGGCTAGCCGTCCGAAGAAATGGTCCCATCACATCTACCGACTATAGATCACCGACTGCGGTTACTGGGACTGACTGCAATGGTGGTTGCGTGTATCTATCGCTTATCATTAATTGGCACTGCTGGCACGTTAACACGTATTGGGCCACATCGTCTCTCATGCCTGACCAGTATGCACTTTGCCGTAGTAAATCAGTCGTTCCTGAGATACCTGTATGCGCTACCTGGTGACATTCGTGTATCATCTTACGCCGCCAGTCTTTCGGGACCACAGTCACCCAATTTTTGTCATCGTCCTGCCAGACCAGAGCTCCATATGTGTTCGCTCTCAGTCTTTCCTTTTGCCGAGGCAACATTATTACCTCCTTGTCCATTGCTCGTTTATCAATATCTGCCCCCTCTTTTATCACTCTGATTACCTCTCGAAGTTTAGGGCCGGACGAGTTCCAGTGGGTCTCCCTCTACACTGTTCACTGCGTATGCTGTCAATGGAAGCGGAGCTTCCATGTCTGGTCTTGACAGGTAGTCCGCCATTACATTTTCCTTTCCTGGAACATGCCCGATACTGAATTCATACTCCTGCAGGCGTATCATCCATCGCGCCAACTTCCCACGGGGTCTCGTGCTGTTTGTAGCCACTGCAGGGGTTCATGGTCAGTCTCGATGTGAAATCGTCTACCTAACAGGTATGGTCTCCACTTGTCTACTGCCCACATAATCGCTAAACACTCCTTTTCGATCGTTGAATACTTCTGTTCAGCAGGCGTGAGAACGCGACTCGCGTATTCCACCACTCTATCAGACTGACTCAAAACGGCACCTATACCATGATCACTTGCGTCTGCGGTCACTGTAAACGGTTTTTCGAGTTCGGACAGTCTAAGCGTCATCTGGCGGTCGTCTAGCATGTTTTTGATTTGATTAAACGTTTGTTGGGCGGTTTCAGTCCACGAAAACTTAGTGTTGCTCAACAACTTATAAAGGGGTGCTGCTATTTCGTTGAAGTTCTTGATGAACCGACTGTAGAACGCCGCCCTTCCCAGGAACTGCCTCAATTTCCTTTTCTAATTAGGTACTGCAATGTTCTTTATGGACAGAATTTTCTCCTGCAGTGGTTTTATTTCTCCATTTCCTACTTTATGCCCCGACAACGCGATGCTACTTTTCGCCATCTGTGACTTGTCCTTATTAATTCGAAGTCCGAATTCTTAAATTCGCTTTAAGACCGCTTCCACATGCTTGGCATGATCTGTTTTTGTCTGGCTGTACACAACTACATCGTCGCCATACACTTCGACATTATCTAGATCCATGAGCAGTAGCGACACTAATCTTCTGAACGTAAATGGTGCACCCGCCAACCCAAACGGCATTCGTCTAAATTGATATTGTTTGTCACGTACGGTAAATGATGTCTTGCTTCGATCGCTCTCTTTTATAGGCAGTTGCCAATAACCTGACCGCAAATCCAGCACTGTAAACACCGTAGCATTTTGCAGCCGATCTAATTTTTCCACTACTGTTGGCATTGCACAAGGTTTCAGTTCTGTTATATTATTCAGTTCTCTAAAATCAACACAAAATCTATACTTTCCATTCGGTTTCTTTACCAGGAGTACCAGTGAGCTATATGGGCTATCCGCCTTCCCAACTATACCTTCTTTTAACATCTCTTGGACCTGTCGATTTACCTCAGCCTCTAAGTGCACAGGGACACGTCGTGTTGTAAATATACTTACTCCATTGTTCTTTATCGAGATTTCGTGCTTTACTTTGTCGCAAAATTCGTACGGCTCTCCTTCTCCAGTGAGCAGTTTCGCATACTTTGTGTACAACTCGGTAATGTTTGGTTTCTTCGTTGAAACGGCTGTTGCCACCGTACTTTGTAACCACCTTACCGCTTCTTAGGTCAATTATTGCTTTTACTTATCTTAGGAAATCTGCTCCTAATATTGGTCTCGATAGATTTGCGGTTGCCACGAACGGAAAATTTATCTCAGAACCATCCACTTTTACGATACTGTTAGACACACCCAATACCTCTAACATATGCCCTCCTATGGTGTGAACTGTTATTGTACACGGCCTGAATCTCTTACATTGCTCCCCTCTATCTACCAGTGCAACAACCCTCAGACTCCCAGAGTAAGAAGAAAACGCGTTGTAACGTCTAAATTATCTCCGTTTTCGTCTTGTTGCACAGTTTATCTTCCAATGTCCTGTCCCTCCACAAGCGTAACACTTATTATCCACTTTACGATTCACTCGTAATGCCGCAATCTCGAGCTGCAGTTCCTCAATCTTCTCGATGCTATTTATCTCCTGACTTCCGCACGCGACCGGAGCTACTGTTCGTGTCATCAACTGTCGCGTCACCTTTGCAAGCTCACTGATATCTATAGGTTGCGCGGCGTTTACCAGTCTCAGCTGCTGGGAAACGGCAACAGACACGCTCTCGATAAACTGCGACGCCAACAACTGTGCCTCCGACTCATCCAGATTCAGCAGCGCGCGACGCAACAACTTGGTAAGCTCCACAGCCAGCACCAGTGGGTCATCATCGATCGGCAACTTCGCCACTCGGAACCTCTGTAGTGCTTCTCTGTCCACTGGGCTGTCGAACTCCGCGAACAACCGCTCCGTGACTGCCTCCCATGTCATCTTCCCGCCAGCACCGTCCGAGCTGTCATATACAGCTTTCGCTCTGCCTCTCAGCATCGTCTCCAGCACCACCGTCCTCGCCTCAGCACGTCTCCATCCTCGAATTACTTCGGCCATGGGATCTTCATCCTTGGAGGCAGCGACACTAAATATAGTGAATGAGAACACAGGTGAAGGCAACCAAATGTGTATTTAGCACAAATCGCAACCTTGCTTGATAAAATACAAAAACCATATTCTATTTGCAAAATGCTCCTTAATTGTCGCAGGCTTCATTGTTTCTGGATTTCACTACTGGGGACGAGTGTGGTGTGTGCCCCTCATATCGTCATAAGTAGTATATATAGTGAGTATGGTTTGAAGAACATTTCGCAGATAGAATATGGTTTTTGTATTTTATCAAGCAAGTTTGCGATTTGTGATAAATACACATTTGGTTGCCTTCACCTGTGTTCCCATTCACTATATTTAGTGTCGCTGCCTCCAAGGATGAAGATCCCATGGCCGAAGTAATTCGAGGATGGAGACGTGCTGAGGCGAGGACGGTGGTGCTGGAGACGATGCTGAGAGGCAGAGCGAAAGCTGTATATGACAGCTCGGACGGTGCTGGCGGGAAGATGACATGGGAGGCAGTCACGGAGCGGTTGTTCGCGGAGTTCGACAGCCCAGTGGACAGAGAAGCACTACAGAGGTTCCGAGTGGCGAAGTTGCCGATCGATGATGACCCACTGGTGCTGGCTGTGGAGCTTACCAAGTTGTTGCGTCGCGCGCTGCTGAATCTGGATGAGTCGGAGGCACAGTTGTTGGCGTCGCAGTTTATCGAGAGCGTGTCTGTTGCCGTTTCCCAGCAGCTGAGACTGGTAAACGCCGCGCAACCTATAGATATCAGTGAGCTTGCAAAGGTGACGCGACAGTTGATGACACGAACAGTAGCTCCGGTCGCGTGCGGAAGTCAGGAGATAAATAGCATCGAGAAGATTGAGGAACTGCAGCTCGAGATTGCGGCATTACGAGTGAATCGTAAAGTGGATAATAAGTGTTACGCTTGTGGAGGGACAGGACATTGGAAGATAAACTGTGCAACAAGACGAAAACGGAGATAATTTAGACGTTACAACGCGTTTTCTTCTTACTCTGGGAGTCTGAGGGTTGTTGCACTGGTAGATAGAGGGGAGCAATGTAAGAGATTCAGGCCGTGTACAATAACAGTTCACACCATAGGAGGGCATATGTTAGAGGTATTGGGTGTGTCTAACAGTATCGTAAAAGTGGATGGTTCTGAGATAAATTTTCCGTTCGTGGCAACCGCAAATCTATCGAGACCAATATTAGGAGCAGATTTCCTAAGATAAGTAAAAGCAATAATTGACCTAAGAAGCGGTAAGGTGGTTACAAAGTACGGTGGCAACAGCCGTTTCAACGAAGAAACCAAACATTACCGAGTTGTACACAAAGTATGCGAAACTGCTCACTGGAGAAGGAGAGCCGTACGAATTTTGCGACAAAGTAAAGCACGAAATCTCGATAAAGAACAATGGAGTAAGTATATTTACAACACGACGTGTCCCTGTGCACTTAGAGGCTGAGGTAAATCGACAGGTCCAAGAGATGTTAAAAGAAGGTATAGTTGGGAAGGCGGATAGCCCATATAGCTCACTGGTACTCCTGGTAAAGAAACCGAATGGAAAGTATAGATTTTGTGTTGATTTTAGAGAACTGAATAATATAACAGAACTGAAACCTTGTGCAATGCCAACAGTAGTGGAAAAATTAGATCGGCTGCAAAATGCTACGGTGTTTACAGTGCTGGATTTGCGGTCAGGTTATTGGCAACTGCCTATAAAAGAGAGCGATCGAAGCAAGACATCATTTACCGTACGTGACAAACAATATCAATTTAGACGAATGCCGTTTGGGTTGGCGGGTGCACCATTTACGTTCAGAAGATTAGTGTCGCTACTGCTCATGGATCTAGATAATGTCGAAGTGTATGGCGACGATGTAGTTGTGTACAGCCAGACAAAAACAGATCATGCCAAGCATGTGGAAGCGGTCTTAAAGCGAATTTAAGAATTCGGACTTCGAATTAATAAGGACAAGTCACAGATGGCGAAAAGTAGCATCGCGTTGTCGGGGCATAAAGTAGGAAATGGAGAAATAAAACCACTGCAGGAGAAAATTCTGTCCATAAAGAACATTGCAGTACCTAATTAGAAAAGGAAATTGAGGCAGTTCCTGGGAAGGGCGGCGTTCTACAGTCGGTTCATCAAGAACTTCAACGAAATAGCAGCACCCCTTTATAAGTTGTTGAGCAACACTAAGTTTTCGTGGACTGAAACCGCCCAACAAACGTTTAATCAAATCAAAAACATGCTAGACGACCGCCAGATGACGCTTAGACTGTCCGAACTCGAAAAACCGTTTACAGTGACCGCAGACGCAAGTGATCATGGTATAGGTGCCGTTTTGAGTCAGTCTGATAGAGTGGTGGAATACGCGAGTCGCGTTCTCACGCCTGCTGAACAGAAGTATTCAACGATCGAAAAGGAGTGTTTAGCGATTATGTGGGCAGTAGACAAGTGGAGACCATACCTGTTAGGTAGACGATTTCACATCGAGACTGACCATGAACCCCTGCAGTGGCTACAAACAGCACGAGACCCCGTGGGAAGTTGGCGCGATGGATGATACGCCTGCAGGAGTATGAATTCAGTATCGGGCATGTTCCAGGAAAGGAAAATGTAATGGCGGACTACCTGTCAAGACCAGACATGGAAGCTCCGCTTCCATTGACAGCATACGCAGTGAACAGTGTAGAGGGAGACCCACTGGAACTCGTCCGGCCCTAAACTTCGAGAGGTAATCAGAGTGATAAAAGAGGGGGCAGATATTGATAAACGAGCAATGGACAAGGAGGTAATAATGTTGCCTCGGCAAAAGGAAAGACTGAGAGCGAACACATATGGAGCTCTGGTCTGGCAGGACGATGACAAAAATTGGGTGACTGTGGTCCCGAAAGACTGGCGGCGTAAGATGATACACGAATGTCACCAGGTAGCGCATACAGGTATCTCAGGAACGACTGATTTACTACGGCAAAGTGCATACTGGTCAGGCATGAGAGACGATGTGGCCCAATACGTGTTAACGTGCCAGCAGTGCCAATTAATGATAAGCGATAGATACACGCAACCACCATTGCAGTCAGTCCCAGTAACCGCAGTCGGTGATCTATAGTCGGTAGATGTGATGGGACCATTTCTTCGGACGGCTAGCCGTAAGCGATTAAAGGGGGGACTAGTGTGGTGTGGGCTACTCATATCGACATACGTAGTATATATCGTGATTAAGGAATAGAATATCTGACAGCAGAAGATAGAGAAGAGAAATAAAAAGCAATTGGTGTGGAAATCCAGGCACAATAAAGCCTGAGACAATTAAGGAACGTTTTGCAAATAAATTGCGGTTTTTGTATTTTATCAAGCAACGTTGTCATTTGTGCTAAATACATAGTTGGTTGTCCTCACTTGTGTTCTCAATTACTATAATACAAGTTTCATATGTAGATTGTAGTTTTACTTGTTGTACTTAAAATATACGAATCCACTGTGTTGTGTAACACTTTTACAATTGATGTTAATACAGCTGTCAGTGTGCATAACTTCCACTGAGAAAGTAATTAGGAAACATCAATTAGTCACGGAATCAGACTTGGAGATCATGGGAATTCAGCTTATCTTTCACTTACTTTTGTCCATTAAAAACGTAAGATGACTTATCAGTTAAATCGGATGACTTCGCAACACACGATGTTACGCTACAATTTTTAAGCAATTTTAAATAGTCTAAACAGCTTTTTTGCCTGATACTTATTACAGCTTAAATGATTGGGGTTTTACTAAAAAGGCACGAAGTGACCTAGCCAAATTTAACCAAACAATGCCTGTAAGTTTCATTCTATCCTAACAAAAGAAATTTAATGGAAAATTTGAAAAAAAAATAAAGTAAAAAATTTAACTGTTTTATGAATTAACGTACGCGTATATACACAATCACGAAAAGTATGAAAAATAATTATGATTTTGTACAAATGAGGATACATAATCCAATCCTTTGAATGAAGTTCAAGTACGGAACGGAGCTCTCTGTATTCTATTCATGACAGATGGTGTCGGCATGTTATTTACAGTACGTGAAGATTTCTATATATTTTAAAAACAAGAAATAATGTTTACAAATAAAATGTCTAAAAATAGTCTACTATGGATGTATGACTAAAAGTTTGCATATTAATTAACTAAAACGATTATGAATGGTGAATTAAATCATCAATTGAATGGCAAGAACTAATACTATAATACGTCAATTCATATTAAAATGTGTAGTTGGCTTAAAATTTTGATCTGATCGACTAAACACCATTTTTGTTTAGATCACTTTGCTGTAGCTTGATTATCCTGATATGAGTAAAGGCTTTAAAGTACAATCTAAATACATTGTTTCATAGACAAAATTATGAGTATTTTGTTGGAAAACTGTCTGTAATTATGTTAGAAACTAATTTAAATATTAGTGGCCTGATATTTGACTCTAGTTTAATCGTATGCTGATTAATGTCGAAATATGCATGCAGCCAAACCTCGTATACAATTATCGACTTCATGTTAGAAAATAACGGAATAATATAAACCAAATATGAGAATGAATTTTAAATACACATATTTCATACACTCATTGGTCCAGAAAGACAATCAAAGAAACAAAGTTGAAAGTAGTGGAGATGACGAGTGAGCCAACTCGTTTTGGTCAAGCGTGACTGAATATTTTCATACAGGCAAAAATAAACTACAAACACATAATGCATAGGGCAAGCAATTAACAGACATACGACCATTTAAAAAACAGTTAGGCTTCATACGTAACCAGGTCAAAATGTGGTTTAAGAAGAATTAATAAATTGGTCTGTCTGGAGGTTGGGACAACGTACATGGGCTTGACATAAAGTACCAGCCATTACAAAACACATTAACCGAAACAATTAACGCAAAAGAAAAAAAGTTACCTATATATTTGTTAGATATAACACTTGTTATCGCTGAGTGAACTATTTACAGACAATGTCAAATAGCATGTACTACAGGTCAATTGAACAAAAAGAATGCAAATTAACAACTTTTTTATATTCCGAAGAGAATTATGAATGGTAACTATTTATGGATTAATATGACATGTATATTTCCTATTGTATAATTGTTAACCGACTTAACTATTCGTATTCATGTTCGTTTTATTATAAGTTTTGTTTTGAACTATGAACTACTATACGATTTACCATTCATCAGCTATCCCCGGTTCATTAATTACTGTTCTCCGAATTTGGCTAAATCTTTTACAAATGTTATTTTCTAATTTATGGTACGATGTGGTCTTTTTGATTGGTATATAAACCCAATATGTTTGAAATAAATGATTCATATTGCAGAGGCTGATATTGGTTTTCTCGACCTAACTGGCTCGGCTAGACAGAAGCAGGACCAATAAGTACTCTAAACTGCTCGTACGGGTTTCATGTGTCACTGATCCGATCGATAAATCACTGCTTTCTAATAGACAGGTCATAAGTTATAGCAAGCTTCAAGTATTCAAGATAAAATATAACCTAACTGATGAGCTTATTATTGTTCGTATGGTTAGGAGTGAAACGAGTAGTTTATTATCTTCAATTTATTGATGATCATCATTAGATGTAGAAGGTTCAAAACACTAGACTAACACCAGCGCCCAAATGCCCTGGTACGGTCGAGAATGGGGAGAGCCCGCTCTCCCTCTCCAAATGCTCTCACATGGCCACGCGAATATATAGCCTCTGCCAGGGAAGTCCTACACACTGCCTTCTAGTAGCGGGAATGTTGCTCGGGGTGTGGCCCCCTAAGAAAAACACTTGCTTCGGTTTGGGCACCCGGGCAGTATCACAGCCCACACACAAATGACATGAAATGACGCACTACGCTAACTACACTGCTCTCCTTCCTAATAAAAGAAAGACAATTTACATTATTATTACCATTATTATTATTATTATTTACTACGTCGCTTTTTCACTCCCTTTATTCCCAAATTGTGTATCCTTCCTTTTCAACTTATGCAGTAGCTCACCCATGGTGGAAACTCTGTCCTATCTAAACGATCTCCAGTCACGGTCTGGTTGAAAGTGAATGCTTCCACCGATTACGAATACTGAAGCAGTTTTTCTGAAACCGCGTTCGCCGTTCAAGCTGGCTTCCTTCAACGTTCGCACACTAATGCAGATCGGACAACAGATGGGGCTGGCTATGTCTTTAGAAAGTCTTAATGTTGATGTTTGCTGTCTATCCGAGACCCGTATTCAAGGCTCTAGTGAAGTACTACAAATTCGCTCTCCATCTGTCGCTTCGAAAAGCTTGTTTCACGTGCGCTGATCCGGGGACTCTGTGACATCTTCGTCCAGTCTTGCTGGCGTTGATGTTGCACTAAGTGCTATGGCTGAGGCAGCACTAATCGATTGGAACCCCATTAACAGACGATTATGTGCTGTTAGATTAGAAAGTTCCATCAGAGTGAGAAGAAACCGGCGTGAGAAACGGTGTCTTTTCGTCATCTCCGCCTATGCCCCGACAGATTGCAGCCCGGATGCAATCCAGAAAGCGCGTTCGACAGATATTGTAGTATTAGCCGGAGACTTGAATGCTCAGGTCGGGCGTCTAGGCACAGAAGAAAATCGTTTAGGTGGCCGATGTGGACTTGTTGGTCGCAGGACAGATAACAGGGATCGTTTGCTGCAACTGTGCACAGACCACAACCTGTTTCTGGCTAGCACTAACTTCCGGCACAGTCATCGCCGGTGTGCCACCTGGCGTCCTCCCTCTGCATCCCAAGCCTGGACTCAGATTGATCACATCGCGATCAGCTACCACTGGTGTGGTTGTGTACAAGACTGCCGCTCCTTTTGGAGTACCTATCTGGAGTCTGACCATGCCCTGGTCTGCGCCAATCTCACCTTACTTTTCAGTGGCCGAAGGATTGATCACCACCAACGGATCGATGTTAGTAAACTGGCTGCAACATCTGTTACAAGTAAGTATCGAGCAGAGCTAGCCTCTAGGCTAGCTACCATCCCACCGAAAAGTATAGATGAGCATTGGTTGCATCTTCACGACGCCATGAAAATGGCGAGTAAAGCCGCTTGCGGCTTCGCGAAACGTCCCGCTTACAAGCACTGGGTTTCTTCTGGCTCCTTACAACTGATGGAAGCCCGTCGGTCTACTCCGGGTGACCGTGAGTTTGACCACAAACGAAGGCTGTTACGTAATGAAATTGGGCAAAGCTTGCGTAAGGACCGAGAAGCCTGGTGGTCGGAGCGTGCTAATGAGATGGAAGCAGCAGCTGCATCTGGTAACTGCCGGAAGCTCTTCCAACTCATCCGAGCCACTGGCAGAAAGAAGTATGGTGTGAGTGAAACAATATACGAGGATGACGGGATGCTAATCACCAACATCTCTCGACGTCTTGGACGATGGGCGGAATTTTCCGAAGGGCAGTTCAACTGGCCTGCTGCTCCGGCAACATCAACCAGTTTGTCCTACCCCCCATGGCCGGTGACGACTGATCCACCAAACGAGGCGGAAGTCCGCAAGGAACTCCAACTCTTGAAGCGCTACAAATCACCGGGCCCAGATGACTTACCTCCGGCTCTTTTTAAAGATGGTAGTGACTTTCTGGCTAAGAACCTGACGGTGTTGTTTGCAAAGGTTTGGGAGCAAGAAAGTGTTCCAACATCATGGAATGAGTCGATAGTTCTCCCTATCTTTAAAAAGGGTTCATGTTGTTCCTGTAACAGCTATCGGGGGATAAGTCTACTTCCGATCGCGTCCAAACTATTGGCTTATGTCATTCTTCGTAGGTTGTTTAAAACCCGAGAACGATTGACTCGCGAGGATCAGGCTGGTTTTCGTTCTGGTCGAGGATGCATTGATCACATCTTCACCCTCCGCCAAATGTTAGAACACCGTCATACTTATCACAGGGTGTGCCTGAGAAGTTCATTAACATCTTAAAGGCCCTGTATACGAACACCTCAGGCAGAGTGAGGGCATACAACCACCTTTCTCCCTTGTTCCATTCGAGCAGTGGGGTTAGGCAGGGTTGCCCGATCTCACTATTCCTCTTCAACTTTGCTATCGACGACATCCTGGAAACAGCTCTGATGGATGTAAGTAATGGCGGTGTGGATATGTTGCCTGGAGAACGACTTCTCGACCTTGAGTATGCGGATGATATTGTTTTACTGTGCGATAATGCCCAAGGCATGCAATCCGCACTTAATCAGTTGTCAATCAGTGTCCGCAGGTACGGCATGTGCTTTGCACCCTCCAAGTGCAAAGTACTCCTACAACACTGGCAGGGTTCTCATCCTGTACTCACCCTGGATGGTGAGCAGATTGAAGTAGTTGAGAAGTTCGTGTATCTAGGTAGCCATATAAGTGCTGGTGGTGGCGTGAGTGATGAGATCGATGCACGTATAATGAAAGCCAGAGCAACTTATGCCAATCTGGGCCATCTTTGGCGCCTTCGTGATGCTAGTCTGGCCGTAAAAGTTTGGATCTACAACGAGTCGGTGAGAGTAGTTTTGCTCTATGCTTGTGAAACCTGGCCTCTCCGAGTTCAGGATGTTGGACGACTCTGTGTTTGATCATCGTTGTCTCCGAAGGATTGCTGTCATCTAGTGGTATTGCCATTTTAGTAATACAGAGGTTCGGTATCGTGTGTTCGGGCGCAGAGACGATAATTCAATTGGTGTCACCATCTTGAAACACTGACTTCAGCGGCTTGGACATGTCTTACGAATGTCGTCCCAGAAACTTCCACGTCGTTCATTATTTGCCGACACTGGGACTGGTTGGAAAAAGCAGAGAGGAGGTCAGTGTATGACATGGTGTCGTAGCATGAAAGAAAGCTGCAAAGGGCTAGCTTCTGTTGGTCCTTCACGACTACCTGGCTGGGGTCCGAGAGATGGTGCAACACAGTGGCTAGAGACGTTATCAGATATGGCTCAGAATAGAAGCCAGTAGCGATCCTGCTGTAACCTTTTACTTTCTTCATAAAGAGCGGTTCTAACTTTCTTAACTGAAAGAGTCTTCTGGTTGTACATTTCAGTCCGCCTTATCTTTTCATCCCTTCTCTTCCTACTTTCATTATTTTGTGTGGCGCATATGTATCTGGTGCCCTTTTGTACCAATATGTATGTGTTTAAATAAATAAAAAGACTAACACCTAAACTGAATCAATAAATTTACTTGGACGACCCATATACCAAACCCTTGATGTCAAGATCTGACCTACAACGTGGTAGATTAACGTCTGAATCCATTCATTATAGGGTTACGAAGTTTCTACAATAGACAAATGCACATTTAATTGACATTAACTTACCGCAGCAGATTTAGGTGCCGTAGATAGAGGAGAAAGGAAAGAATTATCATTATTGCTTTGCATATTATTCATCTAGTAATTAACAAAAGAGAATAAATAAATAACAACAGGAATTCAATTTCAGATAGTCAGAGAGATAGAATGAGAAAACTCATCATCCAAGTTGATATGTTTATTAACTACTGATCTGTGTTACAGATCTATAAACACTAATAACTTGGCACTCTTATGAAAATTTAAAGTCAGAGTGTACAATAATACACGTCTATACATTGTGATTGAGAATTTTAAAACTTTGAATATCATAAAAACATATGACGCATAGCCAACAAAATAAGTTTTGAACAGATAAGCTTGTAAATGCCAGAGGATGACTGTAGGAGAGTCTACTTTCCCTCTTTAAATTCTTTCCTAAACCCATGCGTTGATAGTTTTTACAAGGGATGTCCTAGTCACCGCCTTTACGTAGGCGAGGATGTTGTTCACGAAAATGAACGGACAGAAAGTGTACGTCTAACTTACAAACTGAGTCGCTGAATACGGAAGATTTACCTATAATTGGAAGACACTGACAACAGACCTACGGTGAACATGGGGCCCCAGCATCTTGAGGAAAGAAATGACGTATGATCTGATTTTGATCACCGGCTATCATGAGAAGGGATCTCCTGGCTCTGCTCCACTGTCTCGTAGGCTAGACCTCTAGCTCAAAGGCCTGAGAAGTGGCTAACAAATGGAAATAACCTTTTACTGTTTAAGAGCCTGGGTAGTATCTCAAGCCACATAAAAATATTTGTCACAAAATATTATTGATGCCCAATTGTACCAAATTATATGTATCAAGTAAAATGATAAATAGACAGACAGATATATTGTCTGATTTGTACAAAGATGTAGACAATGAAGGCAACGAGCATGTTATATCTAGAGCCTTGATTCTTAATATGCCGCGAACTACTTGACTACTTGAACGATAGAACCCGCAACGTCGCAAAGAGAGAAGACAAAGACTGGTAAGCAGGAAGTTTATTGCCCCGAACAATGTCAAAATATAGCACAGAAATCTCGTGTATTTATAGTTATTGGCTGAAAATAAATTATCATTTAGGTCAACCAATAAGCACACAGGTATCAAACTAATCCATCCAATGAAGAAGCTCCACGTTGGCATTTCTAGAACATTCCCCTAGCCGTGATTGGATGGAATGTCCACGGCTCTTCCTGGGCTTTTTAGGGCTTCCGAGAGTCTACCGACGGGCCGTCCTTACAGAGCACGAGTTTATACGCAGTTTCACAATAGTTGTTATGCATTGCTTTAATTATTGAGTAAATTAAATGGAAAACCACAGCCCAAAACTTTCGAATCTGTTCAGCATCATGACATAAATATGTTTAAATTACCTGTCTTTCAGTCGTAAAAGCATATTTGCAAATGATTTTTTATCTGCTTTGAGAAGGAATGATTTCGTGAACTACTGAAAAAACTAAATTCAACTCTTAACGATGTGGAATCGCAAATAAATTATGTTAACGTTTACAGTAAGTGACAGTAAAATGTGAAATCCTATACCTGTAAAACACGTCGTGTTGAGCAGATTTTCTTCCCACTCAGTCTTGCACTTCGACGTTTTGTAGATATACTTGGGACAATCTTTTTCTGAGATGAAGTCGACGACGAAATACAGGAAGCGATGGGAGTTTGGATTGAAGGTTTAGCCTTTGTTATAGGCGTGTGAACTGACGACAAAGAGTCTGTAGAACCAATTCCATGTAGTGAGACCATACTGGAACAAGCCAAAAGTGGTGATCGAACGGCATGTAATTTAGAACTGCTACTGAATGCTGCTATAGTGGACTGAATTTTCGAAAAATATAAATTATTTGTAAAATTCTCTAAAAAGAAGACAAAATATATCACTGGACAACATGACTGACTATTCGGTACACTCCTGAATTTCTTATCAGAAATGTGTAATGATTTAGATACCGGATAGGTTGATTGAACATCTGAAGAACGTCGAACACGAATTTTCTTACAATAAGTTCAAATAACTAAGCAGTTCGGACCACCGCTTGAATATAATTAACAAAATGACATACCATGAATTGAATGAGTAGATTAACTGAAAGCGTCAGGAACAGAGTACTTTGATTCTCATTTTGACCAAAATTATAGAGTTAACAGAGGATGAACGATTTGATTCACGGAATCGACTTTCATGCACCACTGACTGACTAGCTAAGAATCTCAAGTCATCGTTTTTCCCGATGCGATACGCAGCCCAGTGTATAGGAATAGATTAGAAGATATCGATTTATAAGGTCACTAGTTACTGGTCTGAAAAAACCTTAGATATTTACACTTCTTAGTTGGAGTCTGTATGATCGTGATGTTTGTGGTTAAAAAGTCGGGTAACATGGATCATAAACAATAGGACGAGTAAAGTCGTACTTACTCTATATCTATTCCTAAATAATAAGTCACTTTTAATATTTCACACCTTTTATTTCACGGATTCATTCATTATTCTAGAACTATATTTTCTATCAATAGTAGTATTGTGTTGACATTTTGCTTTTTTGTGTGAAGTTGCAGTGTAAAGTGTGCTAATTTGGATAGGTACAGATATGTACAAGCTACTACAAGATCATTTATAAATAACTGACTCGGATTAAAACCTGAGCGGCAGAATTAATCAAATCATCAACATGTAACACTATGAAAGTATAAAATCAAACCTGATTGAATAACTTAACAATGGCGATAGGGAATTGCCTATACCCTAATAAGACTAGCAAAATCCTTTGACAATAATTGAAATCAAAATTGGAGAAATAATTTTGTACATTATTGTTTTTTCGTTGTTGTTTTATATCCTTCCAGAATTGATGGTGTAGCGGAAAAAATTAATATTATTAAACAGTATAAATAGTAAAATTTACTTAGTATTGTTTGTTTGGATCTTCCCATTGACATCAACTCTGAGATGCAGGTACATCCAGCTGACGAGTCCCAAATAGGACGAAACGCGCGTCCTGGATTGCACTGCTAGCCACTATCCATCTTTGCTTACCAAGTATAAATAGTAGTTATACACTATGAACACATGCTAATCAATTGTAGGTACTTAATTGTGTATCATATTCCATGACCTGTGACTTTTAATAACAATGGTACCAAATTTCAGGATATTATGATATATTACTCGACTGTATAAATTGAATAGGAATTGTGGTGTTTAACTGTTCTGTACACTTTTATTGTTTATGTTATGAATTTAAAAACAAAAGAGAGCGTTTAAGCTAATGAATATGATATTTTAAAAAAGTGACAGTTAACCACTTACATTTAGTAAATTTGTACGTGGTTTCTTTCCATTTATGGGAGTAAGTAGAGTTGACTTATTTGCATTAAAAGCTCTTTTAGTACTATTTCCAACTTTAATAGAGGAAGTAGAAACATTTCCTGGATTTCTATGGTGTGGATTAATAAAAACAGAAAGCAATAATTCAACAACAAGAAAACTTTTCATTGAAATATATGATTGATAATATGTAAAACATGAACTAGTTATAATTAATACTATGAAATTATAGCACCTCACCAACATTTGAGTTTGTGGATGTTTAATTTTGTTAAGGTCTTCAACGAATTTATTTAACAGAGTGTATCATTTGAAAAACAACAATTTGTCCAAGACATTTTCTTCACTGAAATATAGACATTCTTTTTGTTATTTTATTGAAATAATGAGCCGATCAATGTTAAGTCACTAGTGAAAACCTGGAAGCATTGAATGACCATTTTGTCCTAGTATGGTACTGCTCAAAAGTGAACTTCCACAACCCCGCACGCGAGACTAGAGCCTATGAACTTCGGTCTCGCGCGGATTATTTAATTGTTTCTAGCTTGAATCCTGTTGGTAAAGGATATGTCTAATATAACTTTTTCAAAAAGTAATTTTCACTTGTTGATTAGGTTAATTTGTTTTCAGAAAAACAAGTAACTGTGATCACAATAAACTTCTTTATTAAGAGTGAACTTTCGAATATCTTTCGATTCTTTCACATGTACAGTATATTCACCATTGGCATTATGGGTATTTCATCTGTACAATAGTTGAAAAATGAACAGTTTTAAATGTCTTCTATTTTTATCTCATTTATACGTCTAGTGAATCAGTCGACATTTAAGTCACATTTTTAGCGGAATAACCTAAAAATCACATGCATGAGACATTTCTGTTCTACAACACTTATTGATATTATTTGTCTATCTAAAGACAGAATATAAGTGGAGTGGTAATTAAGTTTGAGAATGAAGTATCCATAATACTGGAAAACAGTTACACACAAAAAAATATATTTAACGAAATACTTTGCATAGTTTTAAACTTTCTGTTGTATTTATAAAATACTGAAATTCAGCCAAATGTGATAGTTGTAAATCATTAGTCTAAACATTAATCTCTCAACAATTTTACGTTTAGATTGTCATTATCATACTCGGCTGAGACAACGCAGTGTTAGTTTTTACGATAATAGAATAAAACAAAAGCTAGGACAAGAATGTTGTTGAAACTCCTATAACCAGAAACAGGAAAATACGGCATGAAACGTGGCACAACAGGTCATTTAACAAGTTAATATACACAAAGAAAGAAAGTGATAAATGGATAAAGTATCAAGATTAACTAACTGATTTTCCTTTTCTATTCCACATTGATGTTCTGAAAAATCCAAATAATCAAGAATTGATAATCCATGAACTGTCACATTTGGGTAATTCACAGAAATTTCTTTTAAGATAGAATACTGACGACTGAGATCACGCTTTAATTGTTTAATTTCCTTATCGATAACCAACAGAATCCCGCCTCGATTTTTTAAAACAGAAGGATCTTTCATTTTTTGCTTAAAAAAAGAATAGTTATTAGAACTTAAAAATATCAAGATACTTAAGAGTTACGATTACTGACTAGTTGTCTGGAGCTAAAGTTATGATGATTGTTGAAACATTCTGCGTGAACTATAAAACTTAACCAATAAAACAGTAAGACTGGGAATGTAAAGTCCCCTACCTCTTTCCCGAAAACTGAAGAAGTGCACAAACTTTTTTCGATAAACAAGTATGCTAAAAATACCTGCAATCTCTTAAAGGGCTTCTATCAGATAGCCCATATACAAAGAATTGACTGAAATCAAGAGTTATTGAGAAACCATGGTATCTAGTGAGTCAGTCAGTTATCTACAACGTAGGACCTCAATAAAACCAAGCTTACCAAAATAAAATCCTATGGGTGGTCCTCACCAACAACACAAATCTCCCAAAGCACACGAAGCTTCTAAGCCGACGTCTCCTGAAACTCATCGATTCATGCTCAACAACATATATTCAATTCAACAAAAAAATATGCAAACGGAAGGGACACCGATGAGATCACCAATATCAAGACTTATTGCAGAAGCAGTGATGCGGAGAGAGAACATCGATTTTACTGCTGATCATGTCAACATTGTGGATTTGTTATGTGAACGACATTTTCATCATCACCAAAAGAGACGAGAAAGGAAACATCCACAATCTGTTCAACAAAGTCTTTGATGACATTAAATTCACGATGGAAAAGGAGTTGAACAACAAACTATCATTCTTGGATGTATTAATCACCAACACAATAAAACTAGAGACGCAAGTATATCATAAGCCGACAATCACAAATTAACTATAGTAGCAACAAACAAAGAACTCATAAAATCAACTGCGTACAAACTTTATTCAAGAAGGCGAGAATACACTGCAGCACACTTGCAGCGCGGAAAAATGAAGAAAAATATCCAATGATCACTCTTCAAAAGAACGGCAGCCTACGCAACTTCACCAAAACATTTCAACCCAACTCGTCACTAAAGAAATCGAATACAGAAACCTACAAAGGATCATCTTACCGTATGTACAAGAAATATCAGAAGAATACGAGATTATTAGAGCCGTTTGGAATAGGTATAGTACATAAACCAGCAAAATCACTTCTATTAATCTTATGGCAAACCAAAGAACGAAATAAGAAAAACCGAACATCAACAAAAGCAATTATTTCAACCGGCTATCATGTACTTATGTTGCCCCACTGCCTTGTGGATCAGACCTCCAGGTCAAAGGCTGGCGGAGTAGCTCCCTAACCAAGTAGTCTGCACCTACCAACATGGCTGAGACAGAAGTTAGTGACTTTATAGACGATTTGGTTTGTCTGATAGGACGCCGGATACCATGGTAACCCCCATCGAACCATACCGGCTGGAATACTTGTTTCCCAGGGTCTTATCACGTCAGGCAGGTCGATTGGAGAATGATAAGACTAAAAGTAACAACTTTACGAGTACTATCAGTTCAGGGACTAGACCAAACAAAAATAATCTCGATCATTGATGGTTTTACAAAATTTATGATTCTGAAAATCTTTAAATTTAACGACAGTAAATTCGTAAGTATAGCTAAGATATTCATGATCGATCTTGTACTGTGAAAATCAACATTACTGAGTGGATACTAAACGTTGATGAAGACAATGAGTAGATGAAAACTAAACGTCTTAATAAAATAAGTTGAACAGAAGTAGATAACGTAATACTTAACACAAATATATATTGATACAAATTACAATTGGAAACAAAACCGTAGAATAACTACTGTTTGGAAAAAACTAAGTAATTTCACCTAAAATCAAATTGTAACCCTGTTAACCCAAACCTTAAACGTTTAGTCGTATTCTCCTTGATTCAACAAAATTTACAATTAACCTTGTTCGATCCATATTGCGTGATACGTTCACACAAACTCATATGTTGACGATGACTGATGTGACTGACTATATAATTTCGCTTTATATTGAAACCCAGCAAGTGCAAGAATTTTTATTTAATTTCAAACATCTTACGTGAACGTGACCATACATGTAAGTAACCTCCTAAAGATTCTTATATCGCAAAAATCAAATTTAATCTAAAGCACTTTCTCGTCGACTCTTATCGTAGTGGTGCTTGGCATTAGTTACTGGTCATGGGGCTCTTCTGTCGACCTTTCATACATGAAAATGTGAATAAATGTGAAGTGGTAGCTTAGTGATTAGAGCGTTCGACTTTAAACCACTAAATCCTGAATTTGAACCTCGTTCAGTCTTTGATTGGAGCAAACGGATAGCATTATTAGTCCTTACACCTAAAGTGTGGATCCTACACAATTATCTGGTAACTGAATTTTTTTTGTGTAGTCAAGTAAAGTCCTTATTCGAGTAGATATACCAAAAAACTATGCTACGAAGATATTGGTTTTCAAACGTTCAGTTTTCTTATTACTTAATTTTTTAGAGATTTTCACATATGTTGACTCACACAAGTTCAACTATCTATGGAAAGGTGAACATCCTGTCGATAAGATAAATTATTCAATTTAACAAGCATTAGTTAATAACGTTAAGCCAAACTTTGGTAAGAATGTCCACTAAAGCTGTATTGACTAACGAGATATGTAGGCAGATCAATATGGCCTTTTTTATTGACACATTTGGTCACTGTGACTCAGTGCAGATCAATATCTTAGCTATTCCATTCCCACTTACTATGTCACTTAGACCGTTGTCTTGTCCATATTACAGAGAGAACCCCTTTAGATTTCAACTTATTTATTTATTTAGAGTGAAATACACGTTTTAAACCAATACCTTTGTAAAAATGTGTTAAGTAATTTGCATTGCAACATATGAATAATGAACAAAAAATACCTACGAATGTGGAAAATAAAACTCAATAAATACTTGCTTTTAAATGTTACAGAGCTTAGAAAGTGACAACAGCCGAACATAAATATATGAAGATTGTTACTAGAACTACAAGCTAAGCTGTGAGAATATTACTGTCAACTATTCAGTAAAATACTAATTGAACAGAAAGATATGTATTATGGGTTTAAATGTTATGGGGAAAAAGTACAAACAAAACATTAAGTACTTACCTCGGACATTCGAAGACGCGATAATATGCACTGCCACGTTTCGAGTGCCTTGAAGAGTGGTTCATTTTTCAGGTAAAATGATTTCCATTTTGTTATCTAAAAGTTGATGTTTTAATACTTAAAACTTACTTCAGACTCAAGCGATATAAGTAGTGACTCATTTAACTCTTGACCTTCAGAAGTTAAATATGATTGACGAGCGTCTCCACCAACAAGGCAGTTTTCCCACCATACGACTAACTCGGCTTGGCACTTAGAGATAATAGACGCTAAACTACTTAGTTGCAATTTTTTCAGACGACTTAGTTCTTCTTTCAGCTATGAGAAAAGAAGCATTCGAAGAGAGTTGGATATAATTTTTATCTTCCGTAAATTTAAAAAACTACATAACACGATCTAAACAGCAATGCGTTCTTAATAGCGTTTTCAATGTCAGATTGCCTAATGAACCATAGTATTTAAGCTAAAATAGTAAAGGTATGGTAAAGTTTAATCTATGAGACCACAATAGTTTAGAACAGCGCTGATATCGGTTAGGAACAATCTGATAAATTTCATGCAGACGTGAAATTTTGGGCTATACACTGATTTTTGGTAAAATCATACACCCTTAACATCGAAATATATCAGTCGCTAAGTAAACCGTAAATGGTCTAATAGCATAGACCTCAAACTTTACAGACATTCAAATATAACGGCTAAAGATAAAACCTTTAAATAGATCTAAAACTTGATAATAAGGTCGAACTAGTGCTCTGTAATATAGTCCAACATAGGTTTCCTGACTAGGTTAGTTCTCCGAATTTTTTAACCAGACACTAAACAGTCGTCTACATCCTAACAATTCCACAGCGCCTCAAAAAAGTAGGACATGCGAAGTGGTATATCTGTATACATGGTAGGTAAGGAACAGGCTAGAAAACCCCAGTACAAACAACTAGGGTTTACTACGTCCAAAATAAGTTTATTCTATCGCAGGAAACTAGTATTTTAAATTTATTTAATTATTTAAACACAAATATTGGTATAAGAGGGCACAAGTAGATATGCGCCACATAAATCACGTGACTTGTGAGAGGGCTGGAGTACTGCCTGGTCGCCCAATCCGAAGCAGGTGGTTTTCTTGGGGAAAGGCCACGCGCAAAATTGCCGACTATTTAACAGTCCTTTTTAAAGACTATTTAACACTAGCATTCATAATGCAATTTTGTTGGTTGACAGTGAAAAGCAACCAACTCGGTGTCTGATATCGACCAGAATACGTAACCTTGAAGTGATAATTAAGATAAATATCCATGGTTAATAAACATAAATCTAATTGTGGATGCTAGGACATTGAGTGGAGACGAACTCATTAACTGGCATCGACAACGCGCAACGTAGAAATATTTTTAGAGGGATTTCTTCAGGTGAACATTGTGAATCAAAACAAAACAGCAGACTTACTACGATTAAAAGTATCAAGTCCCGTCACCCACTATTTACCAAATGTGATTGAACTTAAGATTGTTAACCGTTTCCGCCAGAGTCAAAAGATAAATGTTCAACAAGCAATTTGATTAGCAAAAACATGATCATAACCAAGGAAAAATATAAGCAAACCTCACATGTTGTAAGAAGCGAGCAGATACTGGTTGTTGAATATTCACAGCATTATCAAGGTCAATATTAAGACGACCTGCTATATGCATGATTTCTTTAATGAGTCTTTGACAATCATCATCCAACTTGACAAACTCCTGTGCCAAACTATTTCTTAATTTAGTGACATGGTCAAGAAAATCTTTTGATAGTGATAAAATTTCCATAGGATTAGGAGCAGTGATTAGGGCGATTATTTCCTCGTCATCAGCAGTCTCTTGTTGCAGGAGATCTCTTAAGTTTCTGATTTCCTGAATTAGTCTAGACAAACGAAGAGAACGAGAACGCTGATGGATTACATCACATAAACATAGGTTACTTTTTCTTGAGTCAGATGATTGATGTTTTCTTTTAAGATTCCAATTTGTTCAGGATTTGGGACATGTATGAATGTCTCAGGGACAGGAGGTTCATCAAGCCGCTCGCACAAATCCTTTTCCTCTGCTTTAAGCAAATTATATGTCTGAAGAATTGAGGAGGACTTTTCAGTGAGTGCTTTAAAATGATCATAAAACAGTTTTTCAGTCATTACAAGCGATGATGTTTCGGAAATATTGTTGGTCAACCCAAGCTCTGACTCGAGTTCTTTAATCTTTACCTATGCAATATTATGAGAGTTAATACAACCAGAATGAACCTTTAGTTCTTTGATTGAGTCAATGATAGTCTGCTTCGCTAAAATTTCTTCACTATGCATTTCATCCAACATTAAGAACAAATGGGAAGATAAAGAATGAATTCTCAGCTGTAAATGTTCTCCTTCTAAACCCATGGCATTCCAAATGTCAGCTATCATGACCAATCTCTGTGACATTTGGCCCAAAACATCAGCAACCCAAGGAGGCAACATTAACAGCCCGCCAAAGCAAACAATAACAAGTCGTAGTATGAAAAAACGCATCCATCAAAATACAATGAACAAACCATAAAATGTTTCCAAATAAATTCATCGCCCTCGTTTTTATCTTGTATAAGGTAGAAAATTATTCATTTTCAATCAACCGCAACTCTTGCTCGTGGTTCTGTTAGACGGAGACAGTTTCAGTTTCAGTTTGGAAAGGACAGGAGGCTTGATGGCCTGTGTTAGTCCTGGTAATGATGGTCTCTCAGCTGATCCAACTTTCTTTTGAAGGAGTCGACGGATGAAACCTCAACCACGTGCTGAGGTAATGAATTTCACTCGTTGATTATTCGATGGGAAAGTCGGTAGTTAGCTGACAAGTAATTCGTTCTGGGCTTGTGAACTTTTTTGGAGTGTCCTCGTAGATTTTCTGTTTTGGAAGACAAGAAAGATGAGGGCATATCAGGCGCAAATTTGTCATTAAACAATTTGAAAACTGTAATCAAGTCGCCTCTGATTCTTCTATATGACAGAGGGAATAGGTTTAGCTTGGTCAGTCTAGTACCATACGGGAGCTTCGCTATTCCAGGAATCAGCCTAGTTGCTGTTCTCTGAACTCTTTCCAAGAGTTCACTGTCTTTTTTTAGGCAGGGGCTAGCTGCTTGTATGCAGTACTCAAGTTTAGGGCGTACGAACACTGTATACAAAGTCAGAAACGTTTTAACGTCGAGATGCCTAAAAGCCTTGCGTATGGACCATAAAGTCCTAAAACCTTTGGCGGCTATTGCACGGCAGTGTGCAGTAGTCTTTAAGTCTTGACTAATGATAACGCCTAAGTCATTGTGTGCCTGGACAATAGGTAACTCAGTGTTATTCATCGTGTATGTATCTGTACCCTGGTGGCCAATATGCATCACAATACACTTGGAAGTGTTTATCGGCAATTGCCAGGTTTGGGACCATTCAGATAATCTCTCCAGGTCGTTTTGAAGTTCTAAGCTATCGCCTTTGCTTTGTATCGCCCTCCATATCTTGACATCGTCAGCATAGAGTAAGACCGATGACGATAGTAGACGAGGGAGGTCATTTACGTACAGGAGGAACAACACTGGCCCCAAAACTGTACCCTGGGGGACTCCACTAAGCACAGTTTCCCATCCAGACAACTTGGAGTTCACCCTTACTCTTTGTTGATGCAGTTCATCGGGTCCAGTGGATTTACCTATGTCAAGCTTAACTAGCAGACCAAAAACATCGAGTTCTTCAATGGTTACGCTGTCCAGTGCTTGTGTGGGTGGATTTTCATGGACTGGTGAGAAGGGTGTTTCTATGATGTATACATTGCTAAAGTATTTAGACAATTCTTGAGCTTTGCCAAAGTCGTCCTCCACTAGTGATGAGGCAGTACTGTCTCCCCATAGGGAAGGAACATTTCTTCTTCTTTTTGCCCTTTGGTTTATATACGAATACAAGCGTTTAGGGCATTCTATGGATTCCCCAACGATTTTCTCTTCGTACAGCTTTCTGGCCTTACGGAGGGTCGAGACACAGGTATTTCGAGCCTTTTGATACTGAGATTTTGCCTCGTCAGTCCCCAGTAACCTAAATCTATCCCACATTTTTCTTCTTTTACGGAGAAGGATGCGAACCTCCCTACAAACCACGGTGGGGAGTTTCTCGGCCCCACAGGTGTAGTCCAAGGGATGTGGGCGCGGTAACTTTTAAGTATAAATTCCGGAATACGTCCCAAGCCGTTTCGATTGATGACTCTGGGTCTAATTTCCAATCTACTGATGATGCTGATTTCATGATGTCTGGTATGTTGACTTTCCAGACGCAAGGTCTGGATTGAGATGAGGCGTGCTCGTGATCGACAGTTATATGGAAGTCAAAACTTAAAACTGCATGATCACTTTCGCCTAGGGGTGGCATGAAATCCATGTTTGCAACATCATCCTCATAATGTATCAATATAAGATCTAGTAGGGATGATGCAGAACCCGGGTCGTACCTAGTTGCTTCCTTCACGTGTTGCACTAGGGCACATGTGATTACCGCATCAACTAGTTCCTGTTCGAAGGAATTTTCTGACGATTCAGTCCGCAAATTTCCCCAGTCCACCATGGGCGCATTACAGTCCCCTAGGATTAGACATCGATCACTTCGTGATAAAGTGTTGAGACTGCTTAGCAGGACCTCGTTTACCTTACAGTTTGGACTGCGATAGATCAAACTAAGCGGCAACTCTTGTCCCCTGCATTTCAGGCGGCAGCAAACTAATTCATACGTCCCACTCTCATGGGATACACTGTCGATAATGGTGAGTGGAATAGCATTCCTAATGAATAGAGCTACTACCCCTCCTTTACGCATTTGTATTCTATCGAACCTTACTTATATAAAACCCTCGAAATCAAGTTCCCTACTATCTACAGACGGCGTCAGCCATGTTTGTGTGACTGCGATTATGTCTGTTGAGTCAATGTAGTTGAGTCAATCTGTACACCTAGTTCCAATCGTTTATTTAGTAAGCTCCGGGGATTGGTGTAAGAGATCCGAAGCCTATTTAAGTGGCCTCGTGCTTCACCCAAAGTGGCTTCGGTATCATCCTCTGTCGAAGCCCCAAGACACGAAAATTTACAATTTTCAGGTCTTTTTCGCCAGCGTCTAATCTGAGCTGTAGTTCTTTTTCGGCTTCCCGTCTTTTTACACGGTCCGCCAACGGTAAGTCCCTACGGAGAAAGACTCCTGAACCCTTTAATTTGTGTCCATCTTCTAAGATTAAGTCGCGTTCGTTTGGGGATTCGAAAACGACTTTGAGTAGTCTAGACTGATTAGGCTTCAGATGCGCCAGGTTTCCTAGTCTATACACATTTAGCAATGTGACTCCGGAGATGTTTTTGGGCATAACTTGGTTGAGTAATCGTTTTATCAACACAATGTCATGCTCAAAATGAGCTTTCGGTTCTGAGCTGTCACTCTCCTTGACTCTATGGAAAATGACTGATCTGTCGCTGTGATCAGACTTCGGCTTTTCGACCCTTTCGGTGGGGGTAGGATTCCCTTTTACATCATTTTACCGTTTTTTGCTTACGACCCGTACCCAATCGTCGACGTTCTTTGCAGTAGTAACCACAGTCGCGTCAGGCGTACTGTGGGATTCCGGAAGGTTCAGGACGACTTGGGATGTTGGGTCATCTTTTGCGCTGGAAACCCATCGAGCCTTGCGATTTTGGGTTACGGAAGTTCCCTTCTGGGTACCATTTTTGATACGAGGGGCAGAAGAGACTTTTTTTCTCGAGTTTCTGGTTGTGACAGACCTCTTTGAAGGATGTCCTTCCACCTCTGGACAGTGTGGGTCAGCATTTTTTGGACTCACTTGGGCCTGTCTTATGTCAATCTGCGTGTCGACAGATCGAGTTCTGACCGATGTGTCCCGACCGCGCTTGCCGAGACACTTTTTCGTGGCATTTACCATTGAGATGGCCTTGGAGACATCAAGTAATTCACTACGTTCGATTTCATAATTCACTGGGCAGAAATAACAAGACCCCTTAAGGTCTGGGATAGTACAAGAATCATCCGGGGTAAAAAAATATGGCTATTATTTCATATCTTGAAAGCCTAAATGAATAGTCACTACGTAGGAGATAATAATAAGCGATAGGAAAAGGCAATCAAAAAAATAATAATAAGTGTTGGTTTTCCGCTCGACAGTGTACGCCAATCACAAAACCGAGATTAAACTCTGAAACTCCATGCTGAAAGTTCTATACACCGTAAAAATATGATGCTAGGTAGACAACTTATAATAATCATAGAACTAATAACTGTAGATGAATTAATGGGAACTAAGATCTACATTTAACACTAAACACTTTGGGAAGGTCAGAAATGGTGAACGTGGGAACACTTAAGGATAACACAAGTATTGTGGTTTGACAACACTCAACCAGAAACACCTTCTATAATGGAATCATGCCCACCCAGTGAAATCGAAAGTCAGAAGCGAGGGGGTTGGAAGATATATTTGATAGATTATCAATATGTAGAGAAGTGACTGATCTAAATTGGCTAGTGATCGCAAGAGAAGTTGGGCGCGGCGTTCCCGCTCGTGATATAGTGTGAATGAACTACCGAGCACCTTCACCTAGTCGAGACCATTAAAACCAATGTGGTCAGCATCCAATGTCGAACACTTACAGAGCTATTGATTTTGTGGATTTATTTACCTCTACACACTGAATCGGTGTGGTATGGCTTGGCCATGTTGGCGTGGTCAATACGTAACTTCCGCCTTTTAATATCAAATATGCTATTCTGTTCTTAGCCCAAATGCGTTTTCCAAGATTTCTAAACAGCATATTACTGCCTCCTACGGTAGCACGAGCCATAATATACAGTTATGTGACTTCCATATAGACTAGGTAGTTAAATCGTAGCAAATCTGTAGTTTTATGATCAGGTCTATTATCTAGCAGCAAAGATAATTGCTCGTGATGCCGGCCTAGACAAAAATCCCATAAACATTTCCTCTCTATTTTCATGGTCGACCTCTTTATTTTCACCAGTTTACTCTTAATTTTCCTATTTTTATTTGCTTTAGCATATGGTTAGATGGACTAAATGAAGTATATTTGTGCTGACTTTCACATGTTCGGGTTTCGACCGAAGATCTGCAAAGGTCTAGTAATTCATTACAAAATATATATTTCTCGGAGAATCAGTTCCAAATTTTTCACAAGATTTCCTGGGCGAAAGGGTCCTGACCAAACAAAAATGAAACTTGCAGTGACCTACTTTCATGACGAGAACGCGATTGGCATAATGCAAACAATTATTATTATAACCAGTTGTACCAGTGATTGTTCTAATATACTTAATTGTTGAAGTGCAACAAACACACGCTTTCTTCCGTGGCCTGTGGCGTTGCACGAAATCGAATACGCCTAGTAGTTCTGCTTGTAAACTATGGCACGTCTCGGTATTCTTTTGATACCACAAGATCGCCAACAAATATATCCTGTTGCAACCGTCAACAGCCTTCTGATTTTTGGTTTACGGAGGGATACAATTCGAAATCTGGGAAGTAATCTTCCTGTAGTGGTGATCATAATCAATCGCAACTCGACGCCAACTACAGACTAGTGGCTAGTGACTGAGAATAAACTGATATTATACAGCTAAGTTTGTTGATGTTCTGATTTTGTTAGATCTAAAGCGTCTACGTTGTCTTCGCATTAACCACAAACAATCACAAATTTCATCCAAAGAATAAGTTACTCAATGTTATGCTATCATTTCTTCCTATAATAAAGTGGTCATGGAATGAAAGTGCTTAGGGAACATAATATGGATGTGTCAACCTCCCGTTTTTGGGATCCAAAAGACATTAAAATACTTCCTCACCACTTAGGTTTGTCTTAGATATCATACTATCCTGTGACTATATTTACGATTGATCGTCGTTTTAACAGACAAATTACACAGGAGCAATTGTACCCCCTTAATGCTTTTTAAAGGACCACGACAGCTTATTCATAGCTTAGTTGACTAGTTGTTTTTATCGATTGAGGTAATTGGTTGAGTTCGAATGCTAACCAACATTGCAATAAGGCAATGCATGTGAACATTGACCAACAGATAAATTGAATGTTGGGTTTAAGTAAGTAAAACTAGATCGATAAGGTTGAAGTAAATATGTTAATTAACAAAAAGTTCTGTTTCTTCAACAAGTCTCACAAATGTAAGAATAGTTGTCTAGGACGGTATTAAGCATATTTATCTATGCTACTAGAACAATACGTAGTGGCTTAGCTTCGAAAAAAGTCACTTTTACCTCACTTATCAACCACACCAGTATCCGTTATTTTATAGGTCCCAATGGTGTATACATTTAGAAAGCGATATGAAGTTTTGACTGCTGTTTATTACTGCATAACGTAGGTAATAAAATTACAAGCATACCAAGTGGACTCAAGCAGAAAACCTGATGCGTGAGAGAAGCAAGTACAGAGGCGGATTCACAGTGAAGTCGGATCGAAGCAAAGCAAAGCAATTAATGAGATTCAATTTTATATATATATATATATATATATATATATATATATGAGAAAGAGAATGATTCATCGTGTGATATTCGAACAACTAATATTTTAGCTATAGAGAGACATGTGCACAGACTGTCACATGTGACCAGGCATACGCGTTTATACAGATACCATAGTGATCATAAAAGGACAAAGAAATGGACAAATTCTTACTGTTTTAATAGCATTGTTAAACAAGTTAATTAAAGAGCTTGAAAAAACTAACCGTAAGCAAGCTTTATTGTAGGGAGGTGCGACAAGTGTAATTGATCGCGAAACTGCAGACTTGCTACGATTTAACTACCTAGTCTATATGGAAGTCACATAACTGTATATTATGGCTCGTGCTACCGTAGGAGGCAGTAATATGCTGTTTAGAAATCTTGGAAAACGCATTTGGGCTAAGAACAGAATAGCATATTTGATATTAAAAGGCGGAAGTTACGTATTGACCACGCCAACATGGCCAAGCCATACCACACCGATTCAGTGTTCCTACGTTCACCACTTCTGACCTCCTCAAAGTGTTAAATGTAGAATGAATATCTCAGTTTTATGCGTTGGGCTACATCGATTGTGATTTCTGAAAATAAATAACACTCAAGATGACATATTAACGGGTTTTGTTTGTATTTGTTTTTCTACAAGTATCTCATTTGAGTTTGTCTACGTCCTATCTGAAAATTTGTGCAAGTACAGAATAATTTTAATTAGCTCACACATGAAACATGTGGAATAAACAAATGGCGAAGTGAAAATTTACATAAAGGCAAGAGAAGTCATCATGAATGGGAGAAAGTATGAGTATGGCAGGATATCTATGTATAATAATAATTTTATACATGGATATAATAGGAAAAAATGGGCTAACCACTAAAGATTCAAAGGGTATTCGGAGTTTGACAGTCACTACACCTGACATCTTCATAATCGAAGTATACCAACCAAATCAGATCAGAAGTCAGAAATGAAGTAGTTCGAAGATATACTTGGAAAGTTATCGGTATGTCGAGAAGCGTTTAATCTAAGCTGACTAGCAGTTACAATCAAAGCGTAGCACGACGTGCCAACTGGTGATCTGGCACGTATGTGTGACCGAGCGCCTTCAGATAGGGTGTGTCCAGTAAAACTGATGCGGTCAGCATCAATGTCGAAAACTTACAGAACTACTTATTTCGAGGTTTAATTTACTGCCTCTTAGGGGTGCTGAATACCCCAAGAAGTGGCCAGTCATAAGTTAAAACTCAGCGTCTTTATCAATGGTTAACATTTCTGATAGCTTCCTATGTTCATCAGCATCTGGTTGTTTTTCCTTAACATACGAGGCCATGTAGTACGATAAAGAAAAGAAAAAATTGCAACGGAACATTCTATTCTCCGTATACTTCGTCGGTTTTTCATCTTTTCCAGACATCCTGAAAAAGGGAAATGAAAATTTAAAAGTTCGTGTCGAAATGCACTCGTATATATGTAAGGACACAATACGTGCGAAAAAAGACAAAACTGGTGTAAATGCTTATTGGCAACATACGATAACGTAAATAATTCTCACATTCCACCTTTTCCGATTACTTAAGATGAAGATGTATACACATGTATGAGCAAATTTTATAAAATCGTCTTCTGACAAAAGTACAAACCAACGGGTTAACGCAAAGTTTTGGGCAGTGTCCTGTGCTCAGTAGTCGTCTAAGTGTTCTGGAATCTTTACCCTTATACCAAAGCGCGTTGTTTCGGATGGGATGTCAGATACTACTAAAGTTTCTTCGTGATTGTTGATTATCGAGGAAGGCGTCGTAATTGTGAGGCTTGTGTCATTCAAGTATACAGGCAAATTTAAGGCAGACATTATCTTTAGTTCCATCCTTGTCTACAATATAGAATTCGGGTCTGCAATGAATGACTTTGACGAGTTGTAGTGGTATTGGTTCTTAACCACATGATTCTTGATGCTGAACATAAGCGAGTACATTTCTGAAGGAGAGCCCAGGGAGAAGTTAGGAGTTTTATTATCTGTAAACAGATTGAATTCTGGACCTTCTATAGAGTGTTGAAATTACCGTAGAGCATAATACATGGCCATATATGTGTGATCAAGCACCTTCAGATAGGGTGTGTCCAGTAAAACTGATGCGGTCGGTATCAATGTCGAAAACTTACAGAATTATTTATTTTGAGGATTTATTAACCGGTTCACACATGATTACTCACATCAGCCCGTAAGCGGAATATCCAGGATCCTGCCAAACATCATTTTTGTTGCACTCCAAAACGGATAGTTTGCGAGGCCATTTCATATTACTTCATAAACCTAAAGCAAATCTGTTTACAATGAATTGTAGACTTTCCTGTCGGATAGCCAACGAATGGAACCCATAGCTCGGCATGTGAATAAAGTTCCATTCTTCGGCAAATTCAGAAAAATAGGGTCAACTGAGAGACTGCCACTATCAGGACTTACATAGCCCATCCAGCATCCTGTCCTTCCAAATCAAAACTGAAACTTTGACATTGTACACCAGCCCGCCATTTCGGAGTCCGGACAAAAGCTTCTTCTGGAAGAAATCCATTTGGGCCGTATCAAGGTAAACTTATCTGCATGGTGTTATATATTCAAGTCAGTGAAGTCGTTAAGCAGATAAGATTTTTCGAAAAGTGGTTATTCATATGACTTCTAAGAGGCTACCCGCTGACACTTGTGATAGACCACTTTACAAAATAGTGGTTGTAGGTGATGGAGGTGTTGGAAAATCTGCACTGACAATCCAGGTAACAAACTCAGCTGTATATTACGCCGTTTAGTACTTCCAGAGAATGTTTCTTGAAGAACATGACCCTACGATTGAGGACTCATACATCCAGAACGCTGAGATCGATAATGAGCTGTGTATGCTGTATGGTAAGTTCTTTGATTCTGTTACTTCTCGTGTGTATGGCATGCCAAAAAGTTTACCTTCATCAGCCATTGTTTTGGACAAGAACCTCGTAGATGGCCCTGTTCAAGACAATATCTGGATCATAATCATTAGCTACACCACTTGTAATGAAATAGATATTAAGTGCCTGTAAATTTACTGTGATACTGCATATTTATCGACGATTTTTTGCCATTCTATTTCGATACTCCATCAAGTATTATTTGCTACGTCTTCAATTTCTAGCAAAATATTTGCAAATATCAACCATACAATATCTCAATCTCCCTATTTTGGGGAAAAACCTCATTATTGTATGATTCTGGGGGAATATTGGGGAAAATCCGAAATTTCCTCAAGCATTTGGGGATTTTCTTCAGACCTGGGGAAATTTCGCGGTTTTTGTGCTATTTCACCAAAGTTATCCACTGCGGCTTTCCCAAAATTTACCCAAAACGGGCATAATTCTACCCAAAATAAGGAGATTGGGATGTTAATTCGTGTGCATGTAGCATAAGAGAAATATTTTAGGTTAATATAATTTATGTTGAGGTTTTTAAGCTGGAAGTATCTTTGTTTACCAAGTAGTTGGGTATGGGTGTGACCGGTTATCATGACCATCAGTAAGTATTTATGATTAAATCGGTGCTACGATCTTAAAAAATTGGCTACTATATGCTTTGCGAATGTGACAGCAAGCCCATACTCTGCGTTGTTTGCCGACACCAGGGAATAAGTAACAAACGAGTGGTTGGTCTATGACAGCATCACTGTTTGGAAGATAACTGTATGGGTGATCCGTTACGACTTCGTGGCCGGGGTTCTAGTTTCCATGGAGCTCAGTATTTTTGTGACGAACAGGCTGTTAGAGTTGACCTAGTAAATAACCTGTCTTTTTAAGCATGTCTCAAATTCGATAATTTGTATAAAGTCGGTTTTTTCCTAGACCTTTTTTTTTGTTTTGTTTGTTTTTTCGGGTTTCCTTTTTTGGTAAAAAACTTGTTGAAATAACTCGTGCTGAGAATTCTATATTGTACCAGATTATAATATTGAATAAAGCCATTAATAATAATAATAATAATAACTTAAGGCCTTTTCAAAGGTTGATCAAACTGGAAGTCAGTGATGATTCAATTTTAGCTTTTAGTTAATCATAAAAGAAAGATAAACACCTTTAAATGTAAGAAGTTTCTGATGAATCAATTGGATTATCCTCTCCGCATGGAACATCACTTCTGTCTACTTGTCAGTTTAACTTTTGGCTTTCCTATTTTTCAATGTCGTATATTCTGTTATTTATTCGCTTAGTCCTCTGTTTTACCAAATTTGTTTATGGATAAAAATGAGAGAGAAACAATAATGGGGAAGAAATTAATTATTAAAAGTGGGGATTTGTCGAAAAACTTAAATGTAGAACAACGCGTATTTAACAAGACTCATAGAACACAAGTGTTTTGTTTTCAGGTCAGATTGCTGAAGTAACATATGAAGCGCTTGTAGAGACCGTTAAACTGTTGTTCAGCGGCCAAGTGTCCAGTAATGTAGATCGACACTGCACTGACTTTTTCAAGTTGATGCACCTGTAAATAAAAGTTAAGAAAACCAAAAGCTCTTGAGATTCCTAAGAATGACTAGAAAGTTTGTGCGTCGTCCTGTGACATGGTTTAAAATCGGTCACAGTGACGAGGTTTGTTTTCTTCTAAATCTTTCCCTACTCCTACGTTTCCCCATCACCTAATTCTCTCTATTTCCTAATTCCGAACCATTCACGTTTACTTCCTTACCTCAACAACCCCATTGTTGCTCTGACCCCTATTACTTCATGGCCTCAAAATGCCCTGATACAGCCGAGAGTGGAGAGAGTCCGCTCTCCCTCTCCAAATGCTCTCACATGGCCACGCGAATATATAACCTCTGCTAGGGAAGTCCTACTCATTGCCTTCTAGTAGCGGGGGTGTTGCTTACGAAAGTGAGAGGACGAAAAGCGAATGTCCGGCGCTTTAACCGGGCTGGTGGACATGGAGGGTCCACCTAGGGGAGTTGGAAAACCCTGATCCAAACCAATGGTGCACATGGGCTCCAGTATCCTGAAGGAACAAATGGCGTAAGAACCAACCGTTGGTCACCGGCTACCATGGGACTGCATCTCCTCACGATGCTCCACTGCCTTGTGGATCAGACCTTTAGGTCAAAGGCTCGGGGTGTGGCCCCCTAAGAAAACCACCTGCTTCAGTCTGGGCACCTGGGCAGTATCTCAGCCCTCACACAAATCAAATGAGATTTGTGTTGCGCATATGTATCTGGTGCCCTTTTGTACCAATATTTACGTGTTTAAATAAATAAATAACTTCGTCTCTGATTTAGCTTAGCAACCAGTAAATACATATTTGTATCAGGTTGTGCGTCGTTTATGACTGATTAACTTAGGATGATGATCTGAAATCAAGTTGTAATTTATGAGTCTGTCATCACAAATAACCAGGATTTTATAACCCATTCTCAAACTTCTATTCAACTACACCATGTAAATGCTACTAGAGGCGACACCTTTTGTATGACTCAAAAATAAATCTTAATCTAAAATGTTTTCATCAAGTCAAAATATATAACACGTCCTATTAAGTAAAGATCCTGAAGAAAATACACCTACTATTCTGAAAACTGATTTCGATGCCTAAAGGTTTGTAATAAGACTCACTCTCTAACCCGAGACCTCCCCCAAAACATTCGAATAAGAAACTAGTGTAGTAAAAGAGGGCAATTGAGCTGACTGACCTTTTTATATAATAATAATAATCTTGCCAGAGGTTTCATCAGTTTTAGTTGGTTGGTGTCTTGCAAAGTGCTTTCCCCAATACAAAATTTTCATTATCCACCTAATGTAGGTGATGTTGGTCTGTCTACTAACGTCCACGTATGTTGCGCTTATATTCACTATTCTGCAGAACTGAAGCATAACAACTGAGAGTATAAGAAAATGGTGCAACTCATTTACCAAGTACAGTTTCGTATACTCGGGTTTGAGTCACTTTTTGTATTAGTGCCAGTGATAATAACCGGTTACCCAGACTTAAGTTGGTAAAGCGGGTCTTGAACCTATGACCTAACGGCTGTAAGTTGAACGCCTTAACTTCGAGATCATGGCTCCACGTAAGCAATAGAAACACACAAAAAACAAATAGTAGATCGCAAGTGTCTACAAAACACCGGTTGTATGTGATGGAACTGTTACGTCCTTGATCTGTCTACCCACTTTCGTACCGAGGATAACTTGTTTAATGTGGATTAAAACCGTGACGCGATAGGCTGACTGGCTTAACCTTGAGGCTAGTATGCGTGAGTTCGAAGTGGGGTAGAGAGACGAAAACTACTTTATCCCTGATTGGCTGACAAGCACGTGCGAGAGTAAAGACAATACAACTGGAACATCACTCGCTTTATTCTAAAATCCTATCTGGTACCCGAATTCAGATTAGTGTAAAAAGATCCATGGATAAATAAATGAATAACCTGACCACAACGTACAATAATTAGGAAAATACAATTATGTCCAAAACTGGGGGATTAGAGTAGAAAATAGAGTACAAAAGGCTATGTCTAAATTACAATAGCTTTAGAACAGAAAAGGCTATGGCAGTGAATCATACATCAAACGAAAATTTATGATCTCTAGAATAGACTAGGGACAAAAGTAAATGTTACTGTTATACAAGCTTTGAATTAAATGAAATAACGTCAAAAACAGCTTCCGTAGTTTGTCAAGGCTTCTTGTTTTTTTGTTCACATTACGAACTATTAAATTAGTACTGATATCATAAGTAGAGTACTAGGTAATTGTAAGTATAATATTTAATTATAAAAAATTAATGGTGATTATGCACGAACTGGAATCAGTTCATGAATTTAGTGGTTACCGATTAAACTAATGGAATGCAGATTTCATGTTTAACGTTTATTAGGTAACGACTATAACCTAGGATTGAAAACCTTGACATAAATGGCTAAACCTCAGTTTCACTATTACATCTTCAAGTTTTCATATTGCATTATTCTGTGACATTTTTGTTTTCATTCGTTTGTTTTTCATTTAGTCTTCCTTCTTACATCTCATTATTTTCGTTTCATTATTTGGGCTATTAGTTCCTTTTCATCATACTGATGGGAGTGTGGTAATGTGGGCTGATTCAAATTTATCCAGTGTTCCACGTTATAAATATCTCTTTTACCTCTCGTTGATTTTATCTACTGTATCCCTTTTATTTTGGTTGTTGGTCAGATATCTCACGCACATTTAAAAGTTATCGATTGTATAGGATCTAATATAAACGATTCACCCTTTTTGAGCAACTGTAAATCAAGCGATAATCCAGATTTATTTAAGAAATTGACCTCATTTAAAAATAATACAGAATAATAAATTAAGCTAACGTTTTTCCTGTTTGTTTTCAGTACTGGATACTGCAGGACAGGAAGAGTTTAGTGCAATGAGAGAACAGTATATGCGCATAGGTCAAGGATTTATTATTGTATACTCAGTGACAGACCCTCAGAGTTTTGAAGAAGTCCAGCGATTTCACAAAGAAATTTCACGGTGTAAAGACTGTGGTTCTTATCCTATGATATTGGCAGCAAATAAGATTGATTTGTCTCAACAACGCCAAGTTTCAGAAGAAGAGGGTAAACGTCTAGCTACTTATCTCCAAGTAAGTTTTTTTATATTTTAAACTGTATTTTTGTGTCAATCATCTCTAATTACACACAACTATCCAATTGTGGTACTATTTTGTATAATTTTAAACTCGATATAGCTTTCTCTATAGGAGCAACGAGGTAACTTATCGTTTAGTTGGGAAACCACCATAGGCCAACTAGAAAACGATGGGTAGTTAGCTGCGTATATCATCTTCACTACTTTAGTCAATGTATCTTGTAATATATCATGCCAATTAAAGGGTAAGTCATCTGGTTTCGTCATATCCATGTATATCTACGTATTCAGCTGCTTCCGTGGAGAAAGCTATGTCGGGTGTCCAACCAAGCAACTGGGTCAATGAGTTAGTGTACACCCCCCTTGTGGTTAGTAAAGGGTATAACCAAAACAATAGGGAGCTTTGTTCTAATATACTGACTGACTGTCTCTCAATCCTTTGTGGTTGGCTGGTTCCGCCATGTGTATGCAAAAGTTAAAATCCTGTTCAGGTTATTCGATTAAGATACATAGGCAGCAACAATTAGAAATATGTCAACTGTGCAGCTAATCTGTCGGGTCTTATTTACTTCGTAAAACGTTTAGCTCTTAGTATTCATCCAAGTCATATGTAAATAATTTTCACGAAATCTACTAAATTGTTACAAGTGGGAGATGTATAGGATTCACAAAGTGTACGCTAACTAGCTTAAAATTAGTTCCTAAAGAGTCTACAAATAACTAAATAAATACATCTCATTAATACACATCGCTCGTGGCTAGTCTATCTAGTGTTATTTATCTAACTAATTTTCGCATCATATCAGATTTCCGTGTTAATTTTAGCTCGATCAGTTGATGATTAATGCGTTGAATTAATGCAAATTTGAATGTGAATTCTAGCATTTTCTTAATTAATTTTATACATCAGGAAATATTTCCAAATTTTTTTAGTCACTGCAAATGAAAGAGATAAAAATTTGTCACCATCTACATCAAATGACTGTACAGATTGGAATGTCATTTTTCTAGTTCATTTCATCACTGTATTTTTATTTTCATTTATTTAAACACATAAATATTGGTACAAAAAGCACCAGATACATATGCGCAACACAAATCTCATTTGATTTGTGTGAGGGCTGAGATACTGCCCAGGTGCCCAGACTGAAGCAGGTGGTTTTCTTAGGGGGCCACACCCCGAGCCTTTGACCTAAAGATCTGACCCACAAGGCAGTGGAGCATCGTGAGGAGATGCAGTCTCATGGTAGCCGGTGATCAACGGTTGATTCGTACGCCATTTGTTCCCTCAGGATACTGGAGCCCATGTGCACCATTGGTTTGGATCAGGGTTTTCCAACTCCCCTAGGTGGACCCTCCATGTCCACCAGCCCGGTTAAAGCGCCGGACATTCGCTTTTCGTCCTCTCACTTTCGTAAGCAACACCCCCGCTACTAGAAGGCAATGTGTAGGACTTCCCTAGCGGAGGCTATATATTCGCGTGGCCATGTGAGAGCATTTGGAGAGGGAGAGCGGACTCTCCCCACTCTCGGCCGTACCAGAGCATTTTGGGGCATAAAGCTGTGCAAACAGAAGAGATTGAACAAGATAAAAAAAATTTAAAAGAGAAAAAAACGGCTTATTTCAATGATGGCATCAATCATACAAATAAAAGTAAATAGTTTCCTCTTAAGCTTCAGTAATTTGATGAGAAATGAACAATATCTCCCGCCTATAAATATATATATATATATATATATATATATATATATATATATTTATAATAAAAATCAGTCTTTACTGATACAATGTGAAGATTTGTAAAACTTTATTTATGCGGTGATGTACAAACTAGACTATGCTTTGTAGTTTTTACTTTCTAAAATGCTATCTTTTTCTCATCCAATTTCTAATTAGGTTCCTTACATTGAAACAAGTGCTAAAGATCCTCCAGTTAATGTAGACAAAATGTTTCACGATATGGTACGAATTATCAGGTATGTTATAATAACAGTTCATATTACTATGATAATGAACCAGTGTTCTATAAATTAGTTCAGTGTCTGCACCTCATCTTTTGTTCAACTGCGCTTCAATTTATTTATTTGAACACATAAATATTCGTACAGAGGGACACCGAATACATATTCACCGCACTTCATCGTTCGATTTGTGTGAGCTTGGATACTAGTCGGGTGTCCAGATCGAAGCAGGTGACTTTTTTAGGGGGTCACACCCCGAGCATTCGACCTAAAGTTCTAATCCACAAGGCAATGGGGCGACGTAAGGAGATTCAGTCCCATGGGAGCCGGTGATCAACGATTGGTTTATACGCCATTTGTTCCATCGGGATCCTGGAGCCTATGTGCACCATTGGGTTGGACTCGGTGTTTTCCAACTCCCTTAGGTTGATCCTCCATATCCACCAACCCGGGTAAAGCACCGGACATTCGCTTTTCGTCCTCTCAATTTCGTAAACAACAGTAATACCACGAGAAGGCAGTGTGTAGGACTTCCCTGGAAGTGGCTGTACACTCATGACCATGTGAGAGTATTTCGAGTGGTAGAGCTGACTCCTCACTCTCGGCCGTACCAGGGCATTTAGGGGCACGGCGCTTCAATCACTGTTTAGGACTGGGGTATTGTGAACATTACTATCTGCCGCCCAACTCATACAAATAAGCTAACTTGTTAAACTAAATTATTAAAATTAATATCATTCAGGATTACCTGATTGAAAGAGTAAAGCGACGTTGTACAACTGCCCGCTCAACACTCATTTAGTTAAAACTAGTTAGTCACGACACTTTTTACAAGTATTTGTCTTGAATAATTTGCTTGATCTTTTTTGATGGCCTATTTTTTTGAGTTAAGGTTTTTGCTAGCGACTTATTTCTATCAACAAAATCGCAGTCTCACCTACTCCACACATTCATATTGCTATATTTGGAGAGATTATGAGACCATCTAAAATAGGCGGACGAAACGAAGGATCAGCAATACAACTCAAGTGTATATACAGCATAAAAATGTCCTAAGGAAACGTCACCAAATAGCATATTAAAAGAGGAAACGAACCAAAGAGATTTAGGGTCCTTTTAAGTCGGAAATGCAATCTGAAGATAAAAATGGGCGCTTTTATCGCGAAAACGAGAAATTCAAATTTCCAAAATTAAGTTGAAAAAATAGGACGTTTACCAAATTATTTCTAGGGATCTAGCATCCCAAACACCTCTTTTAACAGCGTACGTTCCTGGGGTCCACCTGCATCTTGACCGTTTGTCACTGTTACGTGTGCCCGTTTGTGAACGTTATGTTTGCTTCCCGAAGCTAGTTTCGGATCCCCGAGCTAGAACTATACAGCAACTTGAAGACCAGAGAGAAGACACAAGTATCAGAGGAACACTTTACTACAAGGTTCATTTATGTACAGAAAAACAGGGGTTTTATAGTAATTAAAAGACTTTGAGATTCCATAGTAGCAGTATGTTAAACAGCCAATCAGGACCTCGTTATTTTAGTAGCATAGCTTCTAACTAATCGCTGATTGGTTGGGCTCTTTATGAGCCTCTGGAGGCTCTGATAGAGTTTACTGTAAGCCGACTTAACACCTCCCCTTTTTTGAAGATTCGAAGATTAGAGTCTGATTTTTTTTTAAAAAAAATAATCTGTAATTTGAAAATTCTCCAACATTTTCCTCCCCCACGAAATAATGTTGGATCTTCATATCTCCAATTTACAATTAATATGACTTCATTTAGAACACATTTCTCGTATTGAATGCAGAATCCACTAGAAATGAATAGATGATGCTGAACGATAATTGATTTTAGGTCATCGGAATTTGGCTTTTCTGGAACATCTCCATCAAATTCATTAAAATTTTCACTGGAGGATATTTGATAGCTAGGGGAATCATCATCTAATAAAATTGCCTTAGGTTTTTTGATCAGCATTTTATTCAACCGACTTATTTTCCTCATCTTCATAAGAATTTTCATCAAAGTTATGTCCACCATTCCAGCTTTCTTGGCCGATATCATGTAACCCGTAGTTTAGTTCTGACTGAAGTTTGTCTTCAGAGATCGGCGGATTCAATGGTGCTTCATTTGGCTCTGGGCTCGGGGCTTTGTCTATGGAACCTTCTTTTTCTTTGATGTCTGATACTGTCACAGTTTCATGTGCATTTAGCAAGATATTGTCTTGCTCTGAACCGGCCAACTTACCCATTTTGCCTTTTTCATCAGATATGAAGGGAAATGAACCCTCAACTGGGCGTTTTTCTGAGACGGCCATATTTGCACCATTATCTGCATTACAAATAATTTCTTTATTTCCTGAAACATTTTGTTTAGTGAAAAATTTGTCCAAAACTGTTTCAAATAGTTGCTGCTGGAAGGCTAGCATCTACTGTTGCCGGTGCTCTAATATTATCAGCGCCTGTTCTAGAGAAATCGTCATTTTTTTACTGATAATAAAAATAACTCCAAAAATTCACCGGCAATTATTACAGCTTGTTTAATTGCAAAATCACGTCTCGATTGCTGTATTTCTTTTTACCAGAATCCCCGACGACAACTGTATGCTTTTTTCTTTTGCGTACCAAAATCCCCGTCGCCACTGTTACGTCTGCCCGTTTGTGAACGTTATGTTTGCTTCCCGAGCTAGAACTATACAGCAACTTGAAGACCAGAGAGAAGACACAAGTATCAGAGGAACACTTTACTACAAGGTTCATTTATGTACAGAAAAACAGGGGTTTTATAGTAATTAAAAGACCTTGAGATTCCATAGTAACAGTATGTTAAACAGCCAATCAGGACCTCGTTATTTTAGTAGCATAGCTTCTAACTAATCGCTGATTGGTTGGGCTCTTTATGAGCCTCTGGAGGCTCTGATAGAGTTTACTGTAAGCCGACTTAACAGTCACCGTTGTCGAAAAGACCAGTTTGTGAAACGTTTTACTTTTTCTTGCGTAGGAACTTCAGGGAGATTAGAGGTATTTAACAGGATTTCGAGTGGGAGATTTCCTTCTGTTGAAGGGCGATTTGGGGCTAGTTATTTCCGTAGCCGGTTTAGGTGTCGAATCCACCTGTCTCATCCCACCTCTACTTCGTATATGATTTGGCCTAGCGTTCTGACCACACGTGCTACAGTTCAGGGACCGTAAGCCTCCAAATGCCTTGGTACGGCCGAGAGTGGGGAGAGTCCGCTCTCCCTCTCCAAATGCTCTCACATGGCCACGCGAATATATAGCCTCCGCTAGGGAAGTCCTACACATTGCCTTCTAGTAGCGGGGGTGTTGCTTACGAAAGTGAGAGGACGAAAAGCGAATGTCCGGCGCTTTAACCGGGCTGGTGGACATGGAGGGTCCACCTAGGGGAGTTGGAAAACCCTGATCCAAACCAATGGTGCACATGGGCTCCAGTATCCTGAGGGAACAAATGGCGTACGAATCAACCGTTGATCACCGGCTACCATGAGACTGCATCTCCTCACGATGCTCCACTGCCTTGTGGGTCAGATCTTTAGGTCAAAGGCTCGGGGTGTGGCCCCCTAAGAAAACCACCTGCTTCAGTCTGGGCACCTGGGCAGTATCTCAGCCCTCACACAAATCAAATGAGATTTGTGTTGCGCATATGTATCTGGTGCTTTTTGTACCAATATTTATGTGTTTAAATAAATAAAATAATAATCCAGGGACCGTGGATTGGTCTGTAGTCCCGAGCAAACACCGGACATCTAGCCTCGTACAGCTTCTGGGACTTGGTCTGTGGTGGTGTGGTTCTCGGAAGCATCAGCTTGTGAATCGTCCTCAATCTTCTCATGAGGATCATTTATTAAGTATAGATTTATGTACTGGGCTTTAAGTTTTCCTATCTGTGTAGAAAAACTAATGCTAGTACTTGGTGGCTTTCCAACACGAAATGATCGAGGTGAATTTTAAGTCTGTTGATAATGAAGTCTTTAACTAGTCAATCCACTGTTTTATTTCAATTGTTTAGCTTAATAATAAGTGACTGTGACTAGACAAACTAATGAAGATGAAGCCCTCGATTAAAACAATTATTTTGCTCCCATGTTTTTATTTTCAGAAAACTGCCTCCACCACAACTAATCTCGAAAGGTGATCGTAAAAAAGTTCGTTGTTTGTTATTATGACATTTTGGTTAGTGTGTAGGCTACTTAAACTTTCCTCATATATTTAAACAGCGTAATCATCTTCAGTGCCTAGATGCTTCTTCAATATTTGATGATATCAATGATAAAACATCTGTATACATCCTGCATACCCTTACCCTGCCTTTTCATACCATGTTTTCTTCCTAACCGATTTACAATGTGCTTCTGGATGTCCAAACAGATATGTAAAATGGAAATGTTAATTATGGTATTCCAGTGAATTTGGCTAAAATATCATATCAGTTAAACCTGTGATTTGGTATTTACTTTCTTCTACTTCTCACTACCTTCAGTCTCCAGGATTCTTAAAGCATCTACTACTAATATTTTTGTTATATGCTTTGAAACGATTGCATTAATGCGGTGTTAGACAGTAATCAAAACAATAGTAATAACCCAAATTGCGCCGATTCAACCTAGTTAACTACTTATTTTTCTCCATCATATTAAACATGCATACACAAGCACTGACATTTTGTACAGGATTTGCTTTGATATTTTATTTCTCTGTAGAACAAGATTTTTATCCTAACTGCTATCAGTTATCATACTTGTACCTTCCAATTTTCACTATTGTATCAAGTCTTGCCTAGGACCACACTATAGAGAAGTGGCATTTTTGAATAATGTTGGACTTTAATGCTTCTACGTGATATCTTGTACCTTAGTAATATGTATTTGGCTGTTCGTATAGTTTTTATACTTACCTGATCATGTTTTGTACGTATTCAATACTAATGATGTAATATTTCTGCGTTGTGGCTGACTGAACGGTGTGATATTAAAAACGACAGTAGTAATAATGTTTTTCTGTCAGAATCATTTATCTAGGCTAATACAACCACTTTCTGTAAATCTTTTGTTTTCTCTACAGTTTCTGTTTGCAACATGCACATCTATGTCTGGTTAATTTTCTATTTTATCCTTTGCAAGATGGTCACGTATAGTTCTACTCAGATAAAGTCGATCAGCTTGCTGTCAAACATTTGTGGCTTGATACTCACCCAGTTTTCAGCGTCTGTACATCGTAAAGATTGGTTTCTTTTTCTTCTGTACCTTTCTTTCTGTTTCTGTATTTGTGTATCCCCTTTTGTTTTTCCTACCTATTAATCCGTCTCGTAGGTGTTGTACATTTCTACCTATTGATTACTTTAATAATGTTTTTCTACCATGTTATTACGGGTCTAGTAACTGTGTTGCTTTTTATCATCTAATGGGTTGCTCTTTGGTATTTTAACTTCAGGGTGTTCAGTATACATGTCCATCTGGTTAAGTTTTCCAATGCTGTCTACTGTCCATTTAGAAGAGGGCTACATATCAATGACCTTGTAAACAACTGATTACAGCAGTTCCCGAAGAAAATAGACTAGTGTTTAGTTGTATACTCTAATTAATTGGTTATTAATTATTCTGCATCAAATTCTTCCTTATTAAATTACATCAAGAAGACTGTTAAGTGTTTATAAAATTATAATAACCCAAAGTATGGTCTTGTCTTATAGAAGTCCATTCGCTAAAATCGTGCTTACTCCAAATATATGTTCATATACAGGTAGAGTACTCACGTCTTCATCTTAATTGATGTTTAAGACATCACGATGAGTTAGCTTATATTAGTGAAGATTTCAGGAAATTTCTGAACTCAGTGTTAATTCTTACTGGGGTATCTTAAGCATGTGTCTTATTGTGTAATGCATCATAGAGATAACTATTTTGCTGACTAGAGTATAGTAAAACAATGTTTCAATCAACGTAATGATAGGAAAACATATAGTCAAAGGCGCTAAATGCTAGGGTGGCAGATAGGGAAGAATACATTTACCCCTAGACGCAATTAAAGAAACCATTTTACTTCAACCTGGTGCATCGATGCTGCCGAATGATTCCAAAGCAATACCTGGAATTTTTCGTAAAGTTGCTAACAATTAAACTAAGTATACCTATCTTCTAGTCAGTGAATTTGTTTCTTATTCTATTTGAAAAGATTATTTGCATGCACATGTCCACATATTTGATAAAAAAAGCTTGAATCTGCAGGCTTTTTCAATGGCTAAATCCTACGTAGTATGTATTTGTAGGAAACTTCGGTTATATCCTTTGCAATCCTACAATTATTAATGATTTTTCAAAGCCTGTAGATTTTATGACCCGGAAAGATCCTAAACTTTTATATGGCTGTGCAAAGGATCTGTGCTGCTTAAAACTCAAAATTAAGATGAGTAACCGTCAGGTTTGCTTAGGCATCATACTTAATACCCCAAGTAAACTAGCAGTTCTTGTTTGATTTTCGATATGTATGAGGTATCGCAGTTATATTTTGCTTTATGTCAGTGAAGGTACGGTCGACTCGCGGCATATATTTAAGTGCACAGTCACTTTTTTGGATCTTGCCTCGTAGGTAAAACATTAAACTTTCTTTCCAAATAGCATGCTGAGGGAGGATTGGTGAAGAAGCGTGGATATGTTTTTTTTCACTAGGTACACATGACTTGTAGAGATTGTTGAGCTTCGTAGTTTACATCAAGAAAAAACTGCAGTCGAACTACTTCAAATAAAAAAAACATTAGGTGACTGTCTCGTCCCAGTATGGAACTCAAGCAGCGTGCATCAATGGCCTCGCAGCGGTCAGACCATGAAACTCCAGTGAGTACATAGCCACTAAGCCGATATCGACTGGTATACATTTACATCTTCAATTAGTTTACAGTATTGCGCACCTGTCTCCCAACTACTTCATTCGACACGCTTACGCTTGATTGGTCACTCGAACTCTAGGAATTTTTATTTATTTATTTAAACACATACATATTGGTACAAAAGGGCACCAGATACATATGCGCCACACAAAATAGTAAGATAAAGGATGAAAAGATAAGGGGGACTGAAATGTACAACCGGAAGACTCTTTCAGCTAAGAGAGTTAGAACCACTCTTTATGAAAAAAGCAAAAGAAGGTTACAGCAGGCTCGCCACTGGCTTCTATTCTGAGCCATATCTGATAACGTCTCTAGCCACTGTGTTGCACCATCTCTCGGACCCCAGCCAGGGAGTCGGGAAAAACCGACACAAGCCAGCCCTTTGCAGCTTTCTTTCATGCCACGACATCATGTCATACACTGACCAACACTCCGCTTTTTCCAACCAGTCCCAGCGCCAGCAAATAATGCACGACGTGGGATTATCTGGGACGAAATTCGTAGAACATGTCCAGGCCACCGAAGTCGGTGTTTCAAGATGGCGACACCAATTGGGTTATCGTCTCTGCGCCCGAACATACGATGCCGAACCTCTGCATTACTAAAATGGCAATAACACTAGATGACAGCAATCGTTCAGAGACAACGATGATCAAACACAGAGTCGTCCAACATCCTCAACTCATTTCATGATGTTGGAACACTTTCTTGCTCCCAAACCTTTGTAAACAACATAGTCAATTCCTTAGTCAGAAAGTCACCACCAGGTAAGTCATCTGGGCCTGTTTGTTTATTCGTTATTTTATGAACTTAGTGTTTCTACTTCGTCGTACATTCATTTTCGTTGTTGTAATGTTGTCTATCCCATTTCTGGTGAGTCCAATAATATCTTTAATGTGAGACTGCGAACATATACTTGTGCAGTAATTCCATGTTTACATTCACAGCTGGTCACATAGCACATTCATACTAGGGTCAAGTGCTTGAACATTGGAATAAAAACCACGGTACTTAAGTGCTCCACAAAAACCACGAAATTTTTAATAGACTATATATTTAAGTGAGAGGTGCGCAAAGGAAGCAATTTTTATTTACCTATTCCATAAATTAGGTTGTAAATCTTATTTCGAAAATAATGAATATAATATGCAGAGCATTGAAAGTCATTGTTACGATTGACTTGAATTTAAAGTATAAAGTGCCCACAAATCACATATACAATGTATTTGATTTTAAATGTTTTAAGAATGACTTGAATGTATTTAATTAATCGTAATTAACACAGAACCTGGCAATGTGGATGAGTTTGTTGCCATAGAAACTATTACAACGAGAGTGCTTAACCTCTGGACCACTGAGACGGCGCGAGACTGATAGGTCCTGAGTTCGAATCTCACGAGGCGGGATCGTGGGTGCTCAATGCTGAAGAGTCCCATAATATGATGAAACGGCCATCCAGTGCTTCCAGGTTTACCTTGGTGGTCTGGCTTCAATTGACTCATGATCTCAACTATATAAAATGTTATAAGCAATGATGGATAGTGGCTAGCAGTGAAATCCAGGACGCGCGTTTCGTCACGACTCAGTATTTGAGTGGATAACGCGATGGCGTTTGAAGCGAAAGGTACTGCGTTCGAGTCCCAGAGTGAACATCAACTCTAAGATGCAGGTACATCCAGCAGAAGGGTCCCAAATAGGACGAAACGCGCGTCCTGGATTCCACTGCTAGCTACTATCCATCGTTGCTCATACTTGAATAGAATGTATTCAACATGTTTGTTATAAAACAAAACAAACAAACAAATTTTTAATGATTCAAAATCTGTCGAAATTAATTGTTATAAATTAATAGTGTTCATATTAAATATATAATTCAATATAATTATTATTAATGCAGTTATCAATTTTTTTTAATTTGTGGAATTAATGATATCGGTTAAGTGTTTAATTTATCCGATGGAAAATTAGTTAAAATTATCAAAGACAAACTATGGTTGTCTTGATAAGTAACAACAATAATTTAAAATAAGAAAAGAAAAAGAAACAACTAAATTTCAAATATTTTTTTCAATCTTATAAACTGAAATCTGAAAAATATTTTTGGTGAGACTATAATTTATGAACGAACAAATTAGATTTAGGATAAGAGATCTTAAATGTTGGCGCAAAATTCATTCATCCATTTGGTTAAATAACGTTTTGATAGTTTAACTAATATCACTTAGTGATGAACACTTTAAATCTGGTTCTTAACTCTAACCATCAATTGTAAATCATAATCTTCATTTTTCATACAGGTTTATAACCCTTGTTTAACTGTGTGTTAGGTTGGTGAACAACCCTCAAGGTCATTTATGAGTCACTCAAAGGTCATTCGATAATAAAAGAAGAAAGTGAAAATTGAAATGTTTTTTCTTAAAAATAAAGAAATAGGAAATATTACATATTCAATTTCATTAATTGTGATTTAAAATTCACATTGATACATATATTTCTAGAATTATTTACTAAATTATAAGCTTTTTCATATGAATAATTATAAATTCTAATTAAATATGCAATGATAATAGATGGTGCACGTGAAATACCAGCTTCACAATGTATAAAACAACAACCATTATATTGTTTTACATTATTTAAAAAATGACAACATTCATTAATGGTATCATTTAATTGAAATGTTAAATTATCATAAACAATAAGAGGTAAATATTGAAAAAATTCAGGAAAATAATTTGGTATTATATTTGAAATAAGATTAATTACATGGGTAACATTATTAGCTTTTAATAAATTTAAATCTTTAGCTACATCAACAGAACCTACAATAAGAAAACATGGAAACATATATATATATGTATTGAAGTAGTCGAACGCGCCGACAACTTCACTTATTTTGGAAGTCTTGGTGTTTGACGAATTCTCAGCACGGATTCAAAAGGCTCGTTTGGCTTTTGCCAACTTACGTCACCTATGGCGAAGACGAGATATCCGTCTATCAATTAAGGGACGAGTATACTGAGCAGCAGTTCGCTCTGTTTTACTTTACGGCTGTGAAACATGACCATTAAGAGTAGAAGATACTCGTAAGTTACTAGTATTTGACCACAGATATCTTAGAAATATTGCTCACAACTGCTGTGATCACCGGGTAAGTAATAGTGAGGTTAGACACAAGGTATTAGGGAACGATGGTAAATCAGTTGATGAGGCCATGAATCTCCATCGACTAAGATGGTCGGGCCACGTGATACGTATGCTTGAACACCGATTACTACGACGCGTTAGGCTGAGTATTATTGGCAATGGTTGGAAGAGAGTTAGGGGCGGCCGAACCAAAACGCGGCATCAGAGCATGAAGTCACTAACTTGTAGTCTGAGCCATGTTGGTAGATGCAGACTACTTGGTTGGGGTCCGTGTGACTATCTTAATCAATGGTTGGAGACTGCGTGACATGGCTCAGAATCGATCACAATGGCGCAGGTGTACACACACTTTATCTTCCCTTAAACCTTGAGATTAAAATTGCTTCATAACTTCTTTCCTTCTTATACTATATCCTGATATGCCACCTTTCTTTTATATACTACCACCACTAAATTAACTACTTCTATGAATTCGGTGTTCATCGTGTTGTGCTAACGAGGTATGGCAACTTGGACCGATGCATATGTGTGCCTGGTCCTACGTTGTAGCTGACTGATATATATATATATATATTCAATTACATTAACTTACCGAATAAAATGGTAAATTCTGGAAGATTTATTTTTCCTATTTGTAGATCTAGATCAAAATCTGGAATAAAACCATGAGAAGAGAAATTAGGTTCTGGTCGAGTAAATTTTTCAATTTTTTCAATTTCCAAACCATATTTATTAATTTTAGTAACTGATCCATCTAATTGTCGAACTTCTACAAGAGTTGGTTTTAAAGAATTCATATTGAAATTTTGAATAGCGTCTCTTATATTATTCATACTTTTTGAACCTGTAACGTTTAGTTTTAGGAAGGTTTTCGTCTGTTTCGAAGGTATCTTATCTGCTGAGGGAATGAGATTACCTGGAAGAAAAAAGTGGATCGACGACTCAGTAAGGAAATAAAGTGCACTTACACTTGATAATCAAAACAATCAAAAACCAGAAATAACAATTGTGCGATGCGAGACTATAATTTGTGGATGAACTTGAGCGACCTTAAGAAAACACCTACTTACCAGGGTCAAAAGAGTCATGGATTAGTGTGAGGACTTAACAATAGGATAGGAAGTTAGGATTATGATTTAGACTCAAGATTTTTATCACGAACTGAAATCAGCTTTAACGTCAAAATACTATATAACCATATGGATAACAAAACTTCTCACCGAAATCCAAAACCTCATATCCTCAATTTTATTACTTCGTCCGTAAATTATAGTCCCACCAATAAAATTTCTGCGTTGTTTTGATGTTTCCTACCTATGGATAGTGGCAGTACCATTGTATCGAAAATTTCCAATGAGGCTTCTGTGGACCTGAAAGTTGTTTTTTGGCAGCGACTGTTCGATCAAAGGTTCTTCTTTTGGAAGAATTTGAACTAGGATTTAACGATTTGCAACGAGTAAGGAATCTCGCAAGACGTTTTTTTGCTAGAGAATTATCATTGTGAGTTATCCCAGAAAACACGGACACTAATAGTGCAGTCTACGATATTCAAGAGTGCATGTTCATAAAGCTACCCTTAAAGCTTAAGAACACATTAACCTAGCTAGCGATAAGATTAGCCAAGGAAAGATATTCTAGACCCTGGCTAATGAAGATAACTGTTCTTAATTGGCAACTGCCGCTCCCGAGGCGCTTCAAGCTAACACGCCGGTTACCAACTGGGACCCATTTGCATTCGGACAGGCTAAATGGTCCAAGGGCCAAGCAATAAAGCGAACTGGAGCCGTCTAGGGCAAAAAATAAGTAGAAGGGATAGGGCCTATACACTAGGAAAACCCTTTGTAGGTAGGTTCTCCCTCTATTCACATAGGGCTCATTAAGACAAACAGGACGAGGAAGCTCGGGTTTCAATTCGAAGGCATTAACGACTTTTGGACGAACGCTGTTAATTTAATAAACGAAATCCAATGGTCCCGTGAACTAAGCAACGCTAACATTATTCATCCAATGGGAATACCTGGAACATCTGGGTTGTTTAATGTCACGGATCAGGAGCTGATAGTACTCGGAATGTCTTTGTTTCGCAACCACAAAAAAAGGGGGACGAGACAGCCCTACACCTCCATGATGTTTGGTAACACACGCAACATACACCAAAACGTTTACCGATCTTGATGAATCTGTATGGTTCTCAGTGAGATTGTCTAATACCTCAAGACATATAGTTGGAGTCATCCACAGAAAGAACACTGCTGACACCGAGTACAAAAACCGTATGCTGTAGGAATTATCCTGCTCTAATCACCTCGGATACACTAACATTCTGATTTTAGAACTTCAACCTTTCTCATGTCGACTTTCCTGAACACACGTGCAGTGATGAAAACTCTACTGAAGCTAGGTTCTTCAAACCCATTGAACTAGGACTGTCTGGAAACGTGAAGTTAGCAACTCGGTGAGGAAACAGTCAGACGCCGACACGTTTAGACTGTATATTGACAAACAAAGAATTCCCAATTGAAAACCTCCCAATGATGGCTTATCTGGTAAAAAGTGATTACACCATCACAGTCTTTTATTTTATTAGCAGGGCTGGGCTAATACGTGCTACAAACAATAGACGTTGGAACTTAAAACGTTTGGATGTGCCAGTTTTACAGGACAATCTACAGCAAGTGTACTGGGACGTCCACACTCAATTTAGTGGGGGTGCTAACTGGAATTTCTTACTGCACATAAAATTGCGTGCTACAAACCAGTTTGCCCCACAAACGTTCCCCAAAAGTTAAAAAAAAATACAGTCATAAGGAATTAAACTCTTCGAATTCTAAAACCTAAAAGATACTGATGGGTGTAATACAAACGAAGTAATCATTACAGCAGATATAGGGAGTTCAAACAAGCAAGAAATTAATGCACTAAGACACTGAAAGAAGATAGACCTCATCATCAAATAAGACTAATCGACACCCGATCCCTATATTTCAGAGAAAATTTTGACCGATTTGGGTGATCCTTGAGAAAATGACACAAAAACCCGAAATTTTCTCCAGGTTTGAGCAAAACCACCACATTTCTTACGACTCTGGGGAAAACCCCAAAATTTACCCAAGGTAGTGAGATTGGGTAGATCTGTCTCCAATCCGAAAAGTTTATTGTCATACAGTTTCTCTTTGGCAAGACAAAGTCGAAGTTTTTCAGTTTTTAGATCCGAATAGCTTAACCAACAACGACGATGGTGCTGCAGAACTTTTGGCGATGCAGTATGTCCAAAAATGTCACATAGGCACGGTGAAAAGTCAGATCCATTCAAAGGCGTCAGCTGTTCCGTCTCAAAAAAAGCGCGCTATTCGAACGGGGAGTTTAGTCCTAACGTGATTTACATTTCTCAAACTTTTGCTGTGTTCTTACGCAATAAAAGTATCATTTCCAATCCAAAGAATCTATTCTGAGCTATACGTTCGGTAGATTACTTCTTTTTTTGTGTTTCACTCAAATTAATAGTTAACTGTGGTTTTGCCTCAGCTCACTATCGGTTTTTTTTTATAGTTTTCACGTAAAGGCTAGCTTTAGCTTATCGTTAACTGTTTTTATACATTTTTGATAGTTTTTGTTTACTGTGTGTTTTTTTAACGGTCCTAAATTTACTGCTTATATTTTTAAGACAGTCTAAATCACCAGCCATGAAAAATTCATGCAAGAGACCTGGTTGCCGTTTTGCCGTTACATCTGGCATGCAATGTGACAACTGTAAAGGTTGGTTCCATGAGGCATGTACAGATCTAACAGCAGCAGCCTATAGCAGACTCAGCAAGTCTGATCGTAGGTGGGTATGTGTTACCTGCAACACCGATACGGTAGTTATGTTGGGTACTATCATTACTTTACTGACAGGTCTGAGAGATAAGTTGTCTAAGAATTCGGTAAATGATATCATCATGACGGGTAACAAAGCTGGAACGCATAGGGCAAATAAGAAAAAGGATACTGACAGGTCGGTTATCGACGGTGCTGTTAACAGCACGAGTGATGATGTGCTGAAACTCAGCACCATCTTAACATCGACTGTCATCGACTCCCTCAGTAAACTTGGGTCCCCCGAGGAACGGTCCTTGAATGAGACAGTGGTTCCCAAAAATCCTGTAGGTGGATGGACTCACGTTAACAGGAGTAATAAAGCCCAAGCGTCCCCTCCGAAACTGAACGTCCCAAGTACCGTGCGGAAATCAGTTGATGCTTTGGCCGCACAATCTACACCCAAGACTGTCCGCCCGGTCATCACTGAGCCCAGGAATCGAAAACGCGCCTCGACATCCAAACAACAAGATACCAAACCTAGACGCCCTGGAAAACCTGGGAAATCAATTGCGGTTCGTGACGACTCTGTCATAATCATGAACCTTATTGACAACCCCGACCTTCCTCTCAGTTTGCAGGACAAAAACGATAGGATGCTCTGGGGAGAATTAATCAAGAGGCTTGAACTCCCTAGAATAGAGCCTTTGACCGTCACACGGCTCACTCGGGGGAAGGACTCTAACCACCTAAACCACCCGAGGCTGCTTCGTGTTACACTTAAGAATGCCTCCGACGTAGAGGACGTCCTGCTAGCCAGTCACTTACTGAGGTCCGATGGGAACGTAAGAATACTGCCCGACATACCGTATTCTGAACGAAATCTCATCCGGAACATCCCTAAGGAATCTCGCGAGGCGTTTTTCCGTGGACGAAATATCATTGTGCAAGGTGTACCGGAAAATATGGACCCAGCTCAAGCAAACTCTGATATTCGGGAATGGAAATTCATCAAGCATTCCTTAAAACCCAAGAACATATTGACCCAACAGGTAATGAGACTGGCCAAGAGAGACGGAGACTCTAGGCCCCGGCTGCTGAAGATAACCTTCCCCTCCCCCCACATGGCGGCTGCAACTCTGGAAGCATTTCGTGCCAATAGACGTCGGTTGCCAACTGGCATCCATATGCATCCGGATAGGCCCCACGACAGCAGGATCAAGCACAAACGAAAGCTGGAGCCGACAATTCCACTCGTGGACTGTCTTGATCATAAAAAAAACGTGTAAAGGACAGGGACTACCAACTCGGTAAACATCGTATAGGTAGGCTACCTGTCCACTCACACACGGCTCATATAGACAAACAAGAAGAGGCTCACGCGTTCCAAATTGAAAGCATAAACTGCCTAAACACGAACGCCGCGAGCTTGCCAAACAAAATGGACGAGCTACGTGAACTTAGCAACGCTAATGATGCCCATCTGATAGGAATATCCGAAACTTGGATAACGTCTCAGTTTACGGACCAAGAGTTAGCAATAACTGGGATGTCTTTATTTCGCAACGACAGAAAAACAGGAATGGGGGGTGGGGTAGCACTGTACATACGGTCATGCCTGGATGCGCAACAACTTTACAACCAAGAGTTCACAATCTTGACGAGTCAGTATGGTGCTCAGTAAGATTATCTACCACCTCGAGGTGCCTAGTTGGGGTCGTTTACAGGAAGCCCACTGCCGACATCGAATATGACAAACGTCTGCTGGAAGGATTAACTCGCTCTACGCGTCTCGGATTCTCTCATATCCTGATTCTAGGGGATTTCAATCTCCCTAGAATCAACTTCGTGGAACATACATACATTGGTGGTACCAACTCTACTGAAGCTCTGTTCTTCAACCTTATCGGCGACCTGGGATTATTTGAAAATGTGAAGTCGGCAACCCGTTGGAGAAACAGTCAGACGCCGTCACGCTTAGACTGGGTATTCACAAACGAAGAATTCCTAGTTGACGACCTCTCAATCCTGGCTCCCC